TGAATGTTTTCGCTTTTTTTCTGCTTTTTTCTTCCTGGTACTGCTGATCCAGAGGATTTTGAATATCAGTGCTCTTTGAGGTCTTGAACGTCGAAGAAAAGAAGATTAGTGACTTTACACTTCTTGCTCTATTGCTCTTGATTCTCGATTATGTTTTGGTTGGTTTGTTGATTCGAATGAGGAGCAAAACAGAGAGAAAAAACAGAGAGAATCCCCATATCTTCTTTTTGATTCTCTGGGTCTCATGTACCTTTTAATCGTCAAAGATTGTCTGAACTATTCCCGCGTATCCCCGAAAATGCTCATTGATTTACGAACATCTCAGATTATCCGATTTCTTTCATACTCTCTCCTCCCCAATCCTCTCTACCTCCTTTCCTGATCATCACAGATTATTGATCTTCGTTTTATGGTTTCAATGTGGACGATTGAATTGATGACGTTGTCCTCCGTATCATGTCGACGCCTAGTATAATAGCAGACACGGATCAAAACACGACAATTTTTTTTTGGAAAACTTCTTGGATCGATTCTCTCTTGGGACCTTTTTTCTCCGTTTTGTCCTTCTTCTTGAGAAAAAAGAGCGGTTCATGATGAGTGACAAGTTAGTTCTATTCCAACACCAAAACCAAGAAAAAATCGAACTGGTCGGAGACCAAAAGTCTAAAAGTTTCAAGTGTTTGTCTAGTCTTTGAAGACCGATGATGATGATGATGATTTGAGAGAAGAGAAGCGTCGGATCAACAGTTCTCTCTACTTTGTTTCGAAAATCGGGGAGGGATTGTTTTAAGAGATCACTTAATAGGTTTTTTGGTTTGAGGAGATCATCATCTGTCCTCAAGGTTATATGACTAATTAAGTACTTTTTTTTACTGACCGAGGATTATTTAGTAAATAATGTTTTCAGAGTTATTTATCAACTGGTCAAAGCAATAGCTGAACTTAATTACTCTAAAAGAAGGCCGCCTTATACTTGCACATTGAGCCCATATATCTTGGTTCCTGTAAAAGATATCAAAAAAATGTCAATTGGCAAAATATTTTAAATGTTATAATAAAAATTTTCTCAATTCCCCACTTTTTGATATCTGTTACAAGGCGCGAGATAAAGTGACTCAGACTACCGTAAAACCTGTAATAGAAGAGCCCCAACACTGTCAAGTTTGAGCTGATTTATCTTGGCTCCCATGCAAGAAATCAAAAATGTGTCAATTAATAAAATTTTTACCATAGTAGCACCAATATTTTTTTTCCGTTGATCACTTCTTGATATCTCTTATCGGAACCGAGATATAGGGGATCAAAGTTGGCGCCTTGAATTGCCTCAAAGTTTTTACAGTATCCACCGTTCCTCAGAAGACTCTAGTCCATATTGGACGAAGGCCGCAATGAACACTGGCAATGAACACAGGAATCATCACATAATCATTAGTAAATGTTCAACTAGAGATTTCTTTTTTTCTGTGATTTCCAAATCAAACACCATTTATTAGGTGTATTAGGAACAAAAAAACGAGGATATCGACATGAATCTTCTTTTTCCAAATCGACATCAACAAAACACGTCAGAACAGTCGAAACAAACCAATTTTTACTCTTTGTGGAAAAGAGAGAGAGAGAGAGAGAGAGAGAGAGAGAGAGAGAGAAAGAGAGAATGTAATATAATCTGCAAAAGTTGTAGATTTTTTGGTGGTGGTGGGGGCAAGGTCTTTGAACCACTCTTTTTCTCTCGTTTTTTTCTATCATCATGTGTTTTTTTTTTCTGTTGATCAATGAGCCACCAAAACGAGGCTATTTTGATGGTGAAGGGAAAAAACGAAGGAATCGAGAATAAGAAGACCGCCGGGATATAATGAACACAGAAAAAGGTTTAGTTATAGGAACAGTGTTTAGAGAATGATCTACAGAATAAAATGGATAAAAAACAACGTAGGAGGGATGTTTGAGCCATAAATGTCAAATAAAACGAGAATAAAGCATCGGGGAGAAGAAATGGGCGGGGAGATAAACAAACAAAAGTAAATGATTTTGAGTGGGTGCATGTGTATTCAGAATTCGGAATTCAGGAGAAAAATGAGGAATGGAGGGAGATGACATTGGATTACAGATTATGCAAATAACAGTGACGTTTCAGGCACGGTGGTCTGACACAAAACACGATTATCGTGCAGGTCAAACATAGCAAATCGCATTTTCGAGATTAAAAAATAGTCGGAATTTTGAATACATGTTTTTCGAATTTTTGAATTTAGTGAGGTTAGAACAGTAATATAAGTTTCAGAAAAACTCATCAAAACTGCTTGCCTCAAAACCAAAAGTTCACTACCTTACTTGTCTTAGGCCCACCAAATACTTTAACTTTGAGCCCAATTATCTTGGTTCCTTTAAATGATATCAATTTTTTCAACTGGTAAATCATTTAGCATAATATCACCAATATTTTATCAGTTGACAGGTTTTTAATATCTCTCATAAGAACCGAGATAATTGAGCTCAACACGCATGCATAGGGTGGGCTTTTAGTAGAGCAAGTACGGTAGGTCTACTCAGATAAGCAACACTTTTTACTAACTCTTTAAAAAGAGATTTGACTTTTTGAGAAACTTTAAAGAGTGTTATACAAAATTCGAAAAATCTATGAGTTCTTTAGAAAAAAAAACAAATCTCTGATATTTTTTCGAAGTTCTATTTTCACCACCCCTGAAGTTTCAGGTTGACCAAACATTTTTTGTGTATTGATGATTGATTCCCGATACCAACATCGTGTTTTTCTACTTCCCCTCACAAGTTTCAGAAGTTATCCATCTATAAATCATCATCATCATTTTAAAGTAGGTCGGATGACCTTTAAATCAACCAAAAACCTTCTCGAGTTTCGAATATTTGCAGTCTTTTTTGAGACCATCCACACGTTACCTCAAATGATTTAAAACTAGAACAATAGGGAAACTTGACATGTGATTCGTGATTCATTGAGAGGATGATGATGATGGTCGGGGGAGCATAAAAAATCCAAATGGCGGGGTTTGGTTTGAAATTTGAAGAGAAAAAAAACAAGATTTAACAGGGAGAAATGGGATACTAACAGTGAATGACCTGGAACATCCTGACAGATTTGAAAGCAATTTTTTTCTGAAATTGGATGTGAATAGGAGATATCAAGATTTCAAATATTCTCTTTACGAGAGAAAAATTCTCAGAAATGAATCAGAAAAAAGAGCTGAAAACAGAGATGGAAATAGAAATTGCGCATTTTATAGTAGGTTTTCTCACTTCCTCTTAGATAAAAAAGTTTCTGAATATTTCCAGCTGTTCCATAATGAAGTTCCGCTTGGAAAGTCTACAAGGAAGTAGAATTAGATCAGAATCGACGTCTTCTGAATAATCTACGTCACTTCGAAAGATTCTCTCGAAAAGTGAGAACTTTAAGCCTTCAAAAAAGAATTCTTGACGAGTTCTTTTGAAAGGGAAATCGAAATAAAAAACTTTTCTCTGAAGGGTCTTCTCTTTTTCCTTGTCCACTTGTCTGGAAATCAACAACCACCCGAATGCTCAAATAGAAAAGACCCAGAAATTGTATAAAATAAAAAGAGAGCTTATTTTTTCCAGATTTTCGGAGAGAGAGAGAGAGCGAGACATCAACGACCAGGTTACCTCTTCTTCTTTTTTCCAGAAGTGAGAAGTAAAAATGAATTCTGGCGGTTGCTTCTCTCTGACCCGATTTTTGATGTTTTCCAGTCAGTACCAAACAGGATTCACAGTTTGCACAGAACAGAGCGACAGAGCGCAAATACGATTTACTTGTACAATTTGGTGTTTAGTAGAAAATATTAGTAGCGGTAGTAGAAGAAGAAGAAGAAGAAGGCGGTGTTTGATGTTTTGCGGGGACATTTATATACATTTATTCTGGAGGAACTGGAGTGCTCATTGAGCTGATGAGAGAGAAGAGATGGGACACTAGTAATGGTAATAGTAAAAGATTCTGAAAAAAAATGAAGAAAATAAAAAAAGAAGAAGACGTGAGAATGAGAAAGTAAAGAACGGAAAAAGATCAGCAAATGAGATGAGACACCGATATAGGTTAATTCGATTAGTTTACGATGGTTCTGGGAATTTACGCTAACCGCTGCTGCCTGGCCGTTTTATATGTTCCTTGGTGTAACATTTACACGATTCCGATCTTTTTTCGGAGTGAAACCGATTCTAAAACTACAGACAGAGGGAATTGGTCAGTGAACTTCAATTTGTGATGGGAATATGGTTTCTTCTCGCACCTAAAGAGATTTTTGTTTCTTAGAGAAACCTTGAAAAACTAAAAAAAAGAAGGTCTTTTTATCTTAACGCTAGTTTGATTCTTCAATCGGATACTTTGGTCCATAAGATTTTGTCGTTTTCTCAGAAGATGAAGAATCAAAATATTCTGGATGGACCACAATTTTCTTGGAGAAAAAAATTCTACAAAGGGGCAAATATGCATTTAGTTTATTTTTTATATCAGAAATTCCCAGTAAATCCGATTCCATCACCTCAAATGTTAAAAAAAAATCCTATGATTCTATAGAAGTCAGCTTTTTTTTAACTTTTGGCTGTGAAAGTTTTCCAAACACAGAAATTAACAGAACACAAAGAGAAAGCATAATCTGAAAATTCGTCTGAAAATTTTTTCTTGAAATCTGAGCTTCAGCTTCTTCTGCCAATTCAAATGTCTGACACATTTTTGATATCTTTTACAGGAACCGAGATAAGTGACCTCAAACTTGACAGTGTGAGGACCCTTCATTCACAGGTTTCACGGAACATCCAAAAAAAGAAAAATTCGAATAAAAAAAAAATTCAGACGTGTCTTGAAAAATGTGGATAAAAGAAATCCTCGTGGTAAGAAAAATACTTTTTGAAAATATAAATCCTAGACAAAAAAGCGACGTGAGTTGGCACGACCCTAGATGGCCCATTGACCTCTGGAAGATTACTATAAAGGAAGAGAGAAGTGCAGGGAATAATCAGTTCTCTTCTTCTCTGGGCTCCAAAGAGGGACCAGAGAAGGGGGGTCCGGCTGGAGCTCTGGAGCTGGAGCTCTGGAGCTGGAGCTCTGGAGCTGGAGCTCTGGAGCTGGAGCTCTGGAGCTGGAGCTCTGAAGCTGGAGCTCCGGAGCTGGAGCTCCGGAGCTGGTGCTGCAACAAGTCTGAGGGGCTTATTCTGGACAACAAGCAAAAAAGCTCAAGAAGGGCATTCGGCCATTCCATGAAGTTCAAGATAACGGTTTCCACGAGTTTACGATAGCTAATAAGCCGACGATTCAGTGACAACGCCGACAGTTATACAGACGATTCATGCAGGGGACGCGTTCTGCATAATTCAGACTGAAGATAAGAGAAAGTTGACGATTTAGGATAAAAACAAGAAAGAATCAAAATTGTGGAGCTGGAGCTGGAGCTGGAGCAGATGTTGTAACTGAAGTCAGAGGAACTCATTCAGGACTATATCCTGGAGCACAACGCGATCTAGAGCAAGAAACAATTCAAGAAGGGCATTCGCATATTTTACGAAGTTCAAGATAATGGTTTCCATGAAGTTACGATGTCTAGCACGCCGACGATTCCCGAACAGTTCATGCAAGGGCTGCATAATTCAGACTGAAAATAAGAAAGAGTTGAAATTTCAAAATAAAAAGAAGAAGGAATCAAATTCATTAAACTTGTCCCTTTGTTCTCTAATTAATAAATGCATTATTTAATAAATGAATGAGTGCATTTTATTCAACTTTACATATTAACTTTGTTAGTGAATTAACGAATTTCGCGTCTTTTGCAGGAACCGAATTTTGGCAAAGTTGACGGCTACGGCAAAAATCGACCGTAAACACTCAAGGTTTCCAGTGTCTGTAGTTCAAAAATAACTATGAATCGCCCCTGAATTTAACTTTGAACCAATTCGTCTCCGTTCCTATCGATGCTGTGAAAAAGTTATCAGCTAATAAATCGTTTATCATAATATCACAAACATTTTGTCAGTCGACACACATTGAAATTTTGCATAGTGACCAAGAAAATTCAGCTCAAACTTGACAGCGTGGAGGGCTGACGGTAGTTCTCCTATCACCGGCTCTACAGTATGTTCTTCTCCTTGGAGCAACGAGAAAAAAGCTTCTGAAAAAAAGGACAATGTGATATATTTATCACATACGAAACTTCCGTTTTGTGCCGACTGACCATCCTAATGCTTTGAATGGAAACTACGGCATTTTTTCGTATTTGCGGACTTTGCTGTTAAACTCAATTTCGATACTTTCAAATTGTGAATTGTAAACTTGAATCGTAAATCAAGATGTGAATCAGAATGAGCCACGATCGCAAGTTGAAATAATCAGACAGATCGCTAGTTTCTATCGGATCAATATCGGGTTGTAAAGCACTGGCACTGTAAGTAGTCTGCGTACATCTGCATTTTAAAGGTATTTTATGAAATAAAAATCCATTGATTAAAAAAGATTCGTTCAGCTCGCATAAAGAGGTCCAAGGAAAATTTGATAACGTCATCTTGAGCAAATAATCCGAGTACGTGTTAATTGGTACGAAGCGATATTCGTCTGTTAGATGTTCGACAGGGAAACGGATAGCTGCATCGCCTAGCGACTGTGAAGTATAAAACATCGTAGATCGATCTAACTATTAGTGCAAGGATATTCTGGAGATCTGGATCATCGTGTCTCCATTTTCAGTAGGATCCAACAGTGAAAATTTGGGTTTGAGAAGGTTTTTATTAAAATAACTGAACTAATTAATGAGTTTTAACAAAAATAATAATATGAACATCGGCAAATGTCGTTTGTTGAAATCACAGAGATCGATCGGAAAAATATGGCAACTTGTTTGAAAATTTCACTTTCGCACCGTTTTCGCACTTTCCATCTCCGCCAGTAAAATTTCTCGAAATGTGTCTTCCTCTTTTTCGTCATCTTTAAGAACAGCACCGAGAAATCCAATGTATGCGGCGGCAACCTGAAGAAAGAAATTGGATTTGAATTATTGGTTTCTTAGATTTCACTTTTAGTGTGGCCAATTTCGATACTTTTGCATCATCCTCCATCGGAAGACATATTCTTAATTCGTCAAATTTTTTGGACAACATCTGTACTCGATTTCTTTCTCGCGCGTTTGCTTCCACTCTGAAAATTCAAAAAATAAAATGTAGTCGGAAATTCCCTTGATTACCTTCTGGCACCCCCTTTTCCGATCATCCTCCGATCGATTTTCCCTGTTGATGTCCTTCTTGGAGCATGTGTTGGACTAGGTGTCGATTCGTGCTCCTCGAGCTCTTTGAGCATTGAACTGATATTTTCCTTTGTTTCACTTTCAGGAGGATCTTCAGGAGTTGGGACCGACGGAGAGTTGGCCATATTCTGCATGTTTTGGATTAGCGCATTCAAATTGTTTTCCATCAGCGTGTTAAAATTATTTTGGATCAGCGTATTCAAAATGTTTGGGTTGTTCAGCATTAATGCCAGAATCATATGTTGGTAAGCCAGAACTTGTGGATCCTCTTCAGACATCTCCCTGAAAAGTTAAATGTATGAGACTATATGTTTTGGGTTTTTTGGAGAGATTGTATCTGGAACAATAAATTTAAGTTTATGATGTTGAGACAATATTGACAGGGAGAGTTGTAAATGAATCTAGATTTTGTGGGCGATAACCAAGAGACTGATTCACTTAATTGGCTCCTCGGGGTGTTAGAAATTCCAAGTTTTGAAATTATTTTCAGGTGAGTCAAACTACGAAACTACGTTTGATCTCGTGAGCTTTACTAATGAGTCTACTATGTCTTTAGTAGTATTTCTATTCTCTTCCTTTCTCTAATCTTTTACACCTCCCTCAACTTACGCATTTTCATGGGTGCTGACTGATAAATCCAATGGCTCCTCCTGTTGAGTTGTTGACGCACTTGACAAGTCCATAGTGACAGTGATGGAAATAGAATCGACACGAAATTTGGAAGACCACCACTACCAGTAACGGAAACTGAAGTGGAGTGGAAGAAAATTCAGAAGCGTGTGTTGGCTGGATTGTATGGTGAACACCTGAAATTGACAGCTTTGACAGGTGATTCTGAATTCTATCAGAGGCAGAAGGCGTCGTCGCCGGCTGTTTGAGGAATGGAAGAGAAGAATCACAAGTGGATGAAAGAGACAGGAGGGAAATGGAAAAGTGAAGAAAGAAGAGCAAATTGGGAGATGGATTAGGAAAAAGAAGAAGAGGAGGTCTCTAATTATTGGGGAAAAAACTGAAACGGAGAAAAAATCCAAATTTTATTGGTTTTAATTTTTTTTGGAAAATATTCTTGCTGGATATTCTTTCACTGGAGAACCTGTAATAGAAGGGCAGCACATACTATCAAGTTTGAGAAAATTTTATGTCGGTTTCTGTGAGAGATATCAAAAATGTATCAACTAACAAAACAGTTCTGATATTATGATAAACAGTTTATCAGTTGACAACTTTTCGATATCTTTGACAGGAACCGAGAAAAATCGCCTCAAAGTTAAAAGTTTGGGACCCTTCTATTACAGGTTTTACGGTATTTTAGGGGTAAGTAGGAAAACAATTTAAATTTTCAGGAAAAATGTGAAAAGGTTACTGTAGTTTAGAAAAGTAGTCTGTTGACAAAAATTAAATAAAAACTGAAAACTGGGCATTCAGAATTGATTATCTGGAAAACAAAAAATAATTAAAAGAATTAATTATCTGGAAAACTGACCTAGAAACCGTTATCTCATTTAAAATAGTTTCATGATTGGCAGATAAGATAAAACTGTCAAGAATGCAAAAATGCAGAGAGCTTGAACAGAAAAAAAAAATAGTAAAATGAAATGTCACTTGATCAGAACTAAATCTTGAACCTAATCTAGAAGATGCATCGAATTTTGAAATCACTCAAATTTTTTGAATTTACCAGCATTTTTCGGATTACCCATTAGAAGTAAAAGAAGACTAAATTTTTTTGGTACTCGAACCTTTTTTTGAAAATTTTAAAGAATTTTATACCAATTCATAGTTCAAAGCCTTTCAAAAGGACTACAAAAAAGGGCTTGCTAAACGACTCTCATTCTCAAAGCTACTTGCTCTTCCACTTTCGTTTTCGGTTCTAATTCAATTAGAATGGAAGAACATTTCACATTCTCTCTCCCTATTTCCCCCATTTTCCCCAATTTCTCACCCCAATATCGGCAATATTAGTCGGATGCCTTGATGGATGGTGAAGAGCAATGTCCCACACGTCAAAAGGTCTAACCCCATGTATATACTTTTTAGAAAAGGGAAGAATCTCATAGAGCTCTCTCCTTTTTACTCTCTTCAGAATGGACAAACGAAAGCGGAGAAGAAGACGGAAATTGTTCTGGATATGAGAATGGGAAAGAAAAAAGGGGCGGGGACATGGATTACCTAATACATGAGGATTGAGATAATTTGTACAATAAGAATATACTAATACCCAGTTTTTGACTTTTCAAATCTCAAAAATGAATTGCGCAAGAGTTTGGTGTGGATTGGTGAATGAAGGAATCTGGTTGGGGTTAAACATTAGACAGACGGATGGAGATGGACAGATGCCAATGCACAATGAGAGCTTCTTCTCCAGACTTACTTCCCCTCGCCGTCTTTGAAAGTTCACAGCTGTGGTTTGACAAAGATTGACACTTTTCCGTCGGACGTATTTCTTCTTGTCGCATGGTAACACCACCAGGAGAGCACTAAGGATAAATTATAGAGTGTTCAAATGAGAGGATCCATCCACTTTGGATGAAATCCAGAAAAAGTAAAATAAGATGATGATGTGCATAGGGGCAAAAGAAGAGTGAGTAGCAGCTGGGATATATGGAAACAACATGCGCATTCTCTACCGATTAGACACAGATGTGCCTCCAGCCAAGAGCACAGCTTGTGCTCAGCGCCCCGAAATCCTGACTCTCCCTTTCTTCTTCTTCTTCCTTTTATTTTTTTTCATTTCTAAATCATCTGCGCCTGTCACGACTACAATGAAAAGCAATATATAGACCAGCCCTTCCAAAAAACAACACTTTCTGATTATATGATCATTTTGCGAATGCCACCTACCCGCACCCCCTCTACAACTTTTTGCCCCCCTCTGTTTGTTTGTTTTACGGAATTTAGGAGAACAATCTAGTCTCCGGGAAAGTCTCTTCAAATTAAAAAATATTCAGTCAGAGCCTTAGTCAAACAAAAATATATGTACATGAGATTTTTTAGTTGTATGGTTTTTTCCAAATTAGCGGAAAGATTAAAATTGGATTTTGGAAATTAACAGGATTTTGAATAAATGAAAACAAACCAGGAAGGAACCATGTGAACTGGAAATATTATTAATAATCATTCCCAGAAAAATCTTCAAGTTGTATTTTTAGCTGGGTGAGGTTCTAAATTGAAAAAAAGGTATTTTTAAGACTTTGCGGCAATACCTTCGCTAATTTTACTGTAGTTTACGGTTATTCGCATTTGAGCGCATTTACACAACATCTCGAAAAATCCCCCACCGTGGAGAAAGACCACTATGTGGAACTGCGAAAATTGACACATGACTGATAATCAGTTGGTTGATTTTCGGTTATAGTAGACATATAAAAAATAAGAAAAAGATAAATTTCGGAAAACATTCTCGTCAGAAAAAAATCAATGACTCTAGTTGCTTATTTTGGATATTTAAGAAAATTTTGGAATTAAAAGAAGAATTTGGATTTTAAAACAAATTTAGGTTTCAGAGGAGACCATGATACAGATATTTAATTTTAAAAAGTCGATAAAAACCAATATTGCAGTATCGGGGATGATAACGATTTTTAGAACAAGCAAACCAGAAATGTTCTGTTTTGAATGTTTGGCGGCTGGTGACTTTCACAACGGGGCTCAATTCTAATTACGAAAGGGAGGATTATATTTGGAGGTGTGGATTGGAAAATATATTACAGCAGGTGTCCCCCTCCAAGACAGGGAAAAAGATGGAGAAAGGGAGAGTGTCAGGTGGTCCGCATGGCTTTGGACTTTTAATATCTCGTCCTATTTCACATTTCATAATTATTTATGTAAAACTGGGAATCAGAAAGCGAAAAATACCGATAGAAATTAATTTCAAAAAGTTATTGCGTTTGGAGATGACCATTCTAACTGAGTGACCGAAATAAACAACTTCTTGATATATGTACTGGTTTTATAACTATTATTTCAACTAAAATTTGAAACTTAGAAAAAATAAGAAAATCGAAAATAAATGGTTTCAGCCAGTAAAACGCAATAAAACATAGGAATGCAACAGAAAAGAACTGCAAATGAATAAAAAAATCAATACGAATAAATACCTGTACACTGCACAGTGTGTTTTGTATGCCCCAACACAACAGGTGGACCAGAGAACAGCTGGGAGGGGAAAAGAGAAGGTGACATACAGAGCTCCTCCTGTGGACCATGTTACGTAGCAGGAGACATTCATCATAAAGAGAACCCGACACATTGGACCACCCACTACATTCCATCGATCGGCATCTTTCTCACCTGTCAGAGCAGTTTCTGAAGAAGATAAGATCCATTAGATAAGGCGAAGAGAAGAAATTAGAAGTATTTATTCATCCTAAAGTCAGTTGCAATAAAAATGAAGATTTCAGTTCAAAAGCATTGGGGCATCAGAAGAAGGCAAATATAATTTTATAATATGGAAATAATTGATATTAGGTTAGAAATTTTAAAAAATCAGCGGGATGAGAGGGACTCTTCGAGAATTCACATGTACAAACAACAGAATTTTTTGAAAATATACAGACATTTTTGGAGCACGATTTGATGGTGATTTTTCTGGGGGAAGGAAGTTATTGAAGCGGAGCAACGTGTCTGTGGAGGCCCGTGGACTACCGACAAAGACAAGAAGGGGCAAAAAAGCAAAATAGAAGAAAATTAATAAAGGTAGTTGTTCGGCCGATCGTCGAGTGTATAGGCAGCTGGAAGATCCAGATTTACTGGAGGTACTGTCGAGTATGGCCTGTCCACTACAGAGATTGGTGCGTTGTAAATCGAGGCTGAAAGAAGGAAGGATTAGGAACGGTGCTAATTCCATGGGAAACTCACTGGCTGTCGTCTGAGCATGATACTCCTCGGCAGCGACTTCGGCATCCTTTTGCTTCTTTCTCTGATGACTCATTCCGTAACGAACCATTGCCAACAGACAAATCGAGATAAGTAAGATTGTCATGATAACCGCTGGAAATATATTTAAGTGTTAAGTTTGGTGTATTTCCTAAAATTCTAAGAATCATACCAAGAATAATCCATCCGACCATTGAGAGTGCTCGTCCCACGAGTGGTTGTGCTTCTTCGTTATTTTGACAGAAATCGACAGATCTTAAAACTTGGATTTGAGAGTTAAAACAAAAAACTTTAAGACAACTGAGGTAGTACTGAAATGTGTAAAGTTAACGTTAGCAATGTTTGCCTCTTATTTGTACCCAACAAAAAAAACTAGCTCATGTGCCAAAGTGTACAAACACATGACTTTTTGAAACAGTTTGTGTGGTAACCTAAACAAGAAGAGCTAAAAAAAAGAAATACCTGAGTGGAGTTCCCTCGACTGGGCATCCATTTGGTGATGATTGACAGACAGCTAAGCATCCTGGCTTCTCGACATCAATGTCAAGATTATCACGGAGCAGTGTGCGGAACCATTCCAATTCGCTGTTACAGTACCATGGGTTTCCTAGAAAATATGAATTTTTTCAACTATTTTTCTTATATATAAAACGCTAGGCGCGTCTGTTTGTCCCGGTGACAGGCTGTTCACTTTTGAAAAGCTTGAAAAACAAATCTAGGTTTACGTGACCCTTTAAGAAAAATGAGGAGCGGAGCGAAGCACCAGTAAAAACTAGGTTAAATCGCGCCGAAGGCGCACCAGCTTGCTGGTAAGTCGATAGAAGATCTTATCTACAAGACAATGTTGCGCAACACGAACTTCCCTATTGTGATAGATCAGCTGACGACTTTCGATATCAATCTTTTTGGGAACCTATTGCACACCTGGTAATTTAGATTTCATATCTATACCCCAACACATTATGATTTACCGACGACAGCTAAGATTTATGGAGTGAAGGATGTGTTCCCTATAGCAATGTTCTCTAGCTGTTTCTTTGACTGATTGGATTGGAAATACAGGGTGGCGCATGAACGGACTAAAGTTTTTACTTGCATAAAATTTGAGAAAACCTTTATACTGGGATCACATTCGGAGTGCGAAAATTCAAATAATTCATCAGTAAACTGGCCAAGTTTCAAATCATTTTATCAACTTCGAGCTGAGTTATCGCTTGTTAAAGTTGCTTCGTTTCATGAAAACCACAACGGCGGTCAAGGACAACCATAACAACACCTAAGCTTGAGGAATCGCTTTGAGAATTTCAGTAGATTTGAATCAAATTTTTCGAAGATTGTCCGCGTGGCTCAGCCGGTAGCGGCGCCACACCTTCGCCCCACAAGTTCAATTCCTCGAGAGGCTTACAACAACAAAATTTCGCGAAAGTTATTTTTTCATGTCCCTCCCACCTTTAATTAATCAATAACTTACCACAGGCATAGATGACTCTTCGATCGTTTGGCTGTGGGAGGAAAGAGTTGAGGAAAACATCGGAAGGCATCGTTTGCAGAAGGTTGTAACTGTAAAACCACTTTTATCTAATCTCTGATTCATTTCTTGATTCATGACTCATTCAACCCCGAAACACACAGTACATAAAGGTGTTTCCCCTCTCATTCCTTCGGCACTTTTCTAATTTGTTTGATATGACGATTTAGGAATAAAGAAGAGGAAGAAGGATGTGCTCCTCCGATATAAACAAACAAGACTAGAGGGTGAAGAAAATTATGAGAATGTGTTGCAAATTACCTTATATCCAAATGAGAGATGGATGGCAAGTTGGCGAATCCCAATGGTTGAACATTGTCGATTCGGTTTCCTTGCAAATCGATCGAGTAGAGGTCGTTGAGGCCTTCGAAGAAGTCCGCGCGTACTCTGAAAAAATGGATCGCTTTCAGATTCTAGAAATAGTTCAGTTCTTACTGTGAAAGTCTGTTCTTGTTGAGAACGATAGCTTGAATCTGTGGAGTTCTTTGAAATGCTCCTCTCTCAATTGTGTCAACGGCAGCTTCGGACATTTCCAGACGAATCAGGTTTGGAATGTGCTGAAAATCAACTTTTTATGGCAACAGTTACTTGAAGTATTTTACCCACCATGAAAGCATTATTTGGGATGACGGAGATCGGAGTCTCACCAATACCAAGAGTCTTCAATTGGGTGATATAACGGAACATTTCTGGAGCCCATGATGGGAATTTGTTTCCAGTCATGTAGAGGAATTGAAGATTTGGAACTCCTTGGAATGCTTGTGGTGGAATCACAGTGATTCCGTTGAATTCGAGAGAAAGAGAAGAGAGAACTGGAAAATCAAGAGCTCCAACTGGAACATCGTTGATCGAGTTGAGTCCAAGATTCAAGTTAGTCAAAGTGTTACGCTGATTAACAAGAGCCGACGAGGGAATCGAAGTAAGAGAGTTGGTTTCGAGCGAAAGTTCCTGAAAAATGTGTATTTTAATTTACATAAAACCGATCTAACGAACCTGTAGAAGAGTCAATGGTCTGAAGACGGTGGCATCTCCTAGTGTGGCATCAGTCAATCTATTTCCAGCCAATTCCAGCTTCAACAACAAATCCCGTGACTCAAAAGCATTGAAAGCAGTTGAGGAAAGTTGATTGATTCTGTTACGGTTGAGGTAAAGCTTGCGAAGATTACGAAGACGTGGAATTCCTGTCTGTGGGATCTGACCAAGATTGTTGTCATTCAGGTCAAGCTCGATCAAAGAATCAAGAAGTGGACCGTTAAATGCCTGATCATCAATGTTCTGGAGGGTGTTTCTATTGAGAACAAGACGGAGGATGGTAAAACTTTGGAAAGCATTCGCTGGAATCGTTGGGATGGCAGTATCCAAAATGGTGAGAGAATCGACCTGGAAAAATATTTTTAGGAAGTTTATTTATTTTAAAAATTTAACTCACCGGAATATCTCTAGCTGCCTGGATTGCTTGGATTGCATTCTGCAAACTACCTGCGTTTTGACAGATAATCGCAACTGGCTCATAAACTGATGGAGCACATCTGCATGCTCCTGATAATGCTGACACTGTCCGTGGACCGTTACCACCAGGGCGGCCATAATAATGGCTTTTAAACCCATGGAACTGAAATGGAAATTTTGGGATTGAGAAGTACAGTAACCCAAGAAGCAAAATGAAGGAAATCGAAATAAAGAATACAGTAACCAGAGACACAAGTTTCAGATAAGGTAAAAGGTTCGAATCAATTCGGTTAGATCGAAAGGTAGGAGAGGCTTGGCACAGAGAGAGAGACCGGCCTTGTCTCCTTCTTCCCTTCTTTTCTTGGAGAGCTCCAAGAGGCGCGGTATGTGTTATGAGAGTGCTGCTCTCCGCACTGTTGCCTACTATTTTCTGCTCGAATCGAAGCTTCGAAGGAGGCGGCTACGCGAAGAGAGATGCGGACAGAAAGTTGTGTACGGAAGGATTAGCAAAGTCGAGACGCGCAACGCTCAAGGCGCCAACCGGAAAAACGAATGCGAACTGAACACGCGAAATCAGTGATAATCAATGCGGAAAGTACGTGTTAAGACGAGCCGCCCGCGCGGGCGGGGCGGAAGGCTAACTGATGAGGAACAATGGCATCTACGCAGGTCGTCTTGTAGTAGTGTTTCGAAATTTTTAAGAGGGAGACAGACACCAGAAGCCTGTGTACCGCCCTTTCTTTGAGTGCTCCGACAAGCTGATTATCAACTTTTTGACCTGATAGGAAACCAGGAAAGCCTGTTCAGGTCCTTGACCCAGACGCCACGTAATGACTCACTTCGTCACGAATTGGGAAATATTCCGGTTTTGGGTATTCTACACGTTGTTTGGTATGCTTTGAATAGGAGCAAGGAAGGGCTTTGTATTTGGTATAGGTCCAGATTTCAAAAGAACAACATAACAGGAAAATCATAGTTTGATTTTAAAAAAGGGGGGAAAATGAAAAAAAAATACTTAAACGTCCACTTCGAGCTTATATATATATATATATGTATGTAGTTCCTATGAAAGATATCAAAGATGTGTCAACTGATAAAATGGCTGTCATATTGTGATAAGCAATTCAACAATTCATAGCTTTTTGATATCTGTGACTGGGATTGAAATAAATTGGCTTACATTTAGTGCTAAAAGTTAAGGGGTTCTTCGATTACAGGTTTTACGAAAAAAAGTTCAGATAAAATGAGAATGATGGTGTTTCAGAATAGATGCATCATGTAGGTGCAGAATTTGCTTTCTGATTGTCTATACCAGAAAATAACAGGCTCTTGAATGTGTTCGTCTTTAATTTGTAAAGAAATAGACAAAAATTTACATGACATGAAAGTAAATGTATGCAATCATATTTTGAGAACAATGGAGTTTGATAAAGCTTCAAATATGAGATTTTTACTATTATTGGAAACTGTCACTTCCAAGTCTCGAAAATTCTAGGTGGAATAGTGAGGAGCGGAGCAAGGGAAACGCGTCGAAGGCGGCCAGGCTAGTTAATACCTAAAAAGGACTGGAAACCACACTTGCAACGAGCCGGGTCGGACTTTTCTCAGAATTCTCAAGGCCCGCCTTTCCAGTTATTTCTTTTTGTCTTTTCAAAAAGTTTTCGGGATCAATGAGAAGAGAAAAGCTTGAAAAAACGGAGGGTCGTTAAAAAATTTTTGTAAAAAAAATAGGAAAATTGCCGAAATTTGAGAAACGTTTCCAAATGTGGGAGTCTTAATTTTTCAAGTATGCAGAAAACGATATGAAGACTATCTTGGAGTGTCTCCTCCGTATATTCAAACTTCTCAAAGCATCACACAATATCGGTATTGTTTCCTTTTCACTCTTTTCGAGAGCGGCTCTCGGCTGACCATCTATGTGACAAGGCAAATAAAAACTGTGACAACTGATATTAAATACAATAATGCGAATTCACGAGAACAAACACGGCTCCACACATCTCCCCGTGAGAAGGATATCTTGTCTTTTCGAGACCGTAAAAGGAAGTAATGAACGGAAAAGGTAATGAAAACGAAGAGACAGTCTCTCTTTGAGGAGGAACAGCGAGAGAATAGAAAAAGAGCACATCATTCCTGTTGACTCAGCTGGGATTTCGAATTGAAAAAGGGTGTGGTGTGAACGGAGAAAATAGGGGGATCGTTTGGAATTCCGAATCGAATACAATTGTTCGTCACTAAATTTAGACAATAGAACAAAATGAAAAGGTGTAGTTTTCATCAGGTGTGGTAGAATGGTTTAGGAACTTTTGTGCGTTTTTTTTGTGTTGTTTTTGTTTGTACTTGGTCTCAGACTAATCTTTCTCCATTTTTAGGAGTTCAAAAAGCGCGCAGTTGGACTAGAAAGATCAAACAGGACTACTAAAAGCAAAAGAGGATTTTACAAGAGACTAGTTATCTCGAGAATTATCTTGAGAAAAATTATTTAGAATTTACTTACCGTGAAACCAGTAATAGAAAAGCCGCCACACTGTCAAGTTGGAGCTAACTTATCTCGTTTTTTATGAGAGGTAACAAAAAAGGGTCAACTGACAAAAGATTTACCATATATCAGTTGAGAACTTGTTCAACTCTTTGACAGGAACCGATATTTTTTTGGCTCAAAGTTAAAAGTTTCAGGCTCTTCTATTACAGATCTTACAGTAATTAAAACTACGAATGACCGCGTTTTAAGATCTGAGTATGTCAGATGGAACGCGGAACCGGAAGAAAGAAGAGAAAATTTAAATAGGGGTCCGCTCCTAAATAAAATCCAAGGATATTATATATTTTCCACAGATAGTTTTGTAGCTAAATCAAGGTGAACACTCTAATGGAATACCCCCAAACCATCAAGCTTGAGCCTCTATGTCACACTTCTTGTGAAAGCTATTAAAAAGTAATCAACTGTCAAAATATTTCTGATGCTATGATTAAAATTTTATTAGTTGATCACTTTTTGATATCTCTCACATAAATAGAGAAAGTTTTAGTATTTTGAGTATTCTGAGCATTCTGAATTTTGAATAAATGAGTTTATTACAAACAGGATCCTTATGAACGGTTAAAATTTCAAAATTTTTTTTAACTGTAATAAGTTCTTCAATTCCAAAGAATAAAGAACAGCCCCAGTAACTCCGGGAAAGAAATAAACTGTCAAACTTGACAAACGTAAAAGGTTATGAATGAATGAAAGAATGTGCGGAAAGGTAAAGATGAGCAAAAAGATGCAACCCGAGACGGGTCGACCCTTGCGCTAACAAGATAAGACAATGTCAGAATTACAGGTTAGTATGCCACATTGCATTTTTCTGTGTGTACTGCCTCGTAGGTCGGCGCCGCCCGCCAACCGCGCGCGGGAAACCGGCTCCGCGTGTATGTCAATCAACTGTTTTAGATTTGGAAGAGAGAGCAGTGAACGTAAGGAGACTCCAGATGTCTTGCGCAACCTTTCCGCTACCTTCACCCCACTTCACGCGCCAAGAAGGTTGGGGGCACGGCAGGTTGCTCCTGGGATGCTCCTGTGGCGTTGCATATAGTCATATCGTTGCATTTAGAGTACTCGCTGGAGCGCATGAGCATGTAAGAGGCATATACGCTCTTCACTCAGATCACGCAATCCCTCTTTCTCTTCATTTCGGTAGGAATGAAGAAACATACTCTCAAGGAGTCGCGGAAAGAGCGGAATGCACATGCGTTTGGTTTCGGTAAGCAATCCAAAAGAAGGATTATGGGGGGCTAAAACAAAGAGAACAAAGCGGTGAAACGCGACGGATTACTTGATTTTTTGAGAAGCATTTTCTTTTTTTGTTCGAACAGTTTTGCAAAAACTCTGAATATGAATGCATTTATTTTTGAGCATTACTTAAAAAAGACAGTGTTTGTTCTGAAATTGAGATCACAGACCTAAATATGAAAAAAATTATTTAAAAGGGTTTTTCATGAGCTGACAGTGGATTTGGTTTCAACCGAGGATGAGGATGAGAATGGCGAAGAGGATGAAGAAGTTCTGAAAAAAATCTTGTGTGTAATGAATTCCAGTTTTCTGAAATAGATACATGTCGACGGACCTATTCCGAGCCATCACAAGCCGGCTGATTACTCATTTCAAATTTAAAATTGTGAGCAAAACAATATACCAAAGGATAGAGCTCGGAGAGCTCTACATTCCAATAAGAATCAAGATTTTTAAAATCAGTAACCGGGTGCGGACAGGGCAGAAAATCCTTAGGTCCGGATTATACCACTTTCAAAGCCGGTGGATCCTTATTGGAGATTGTAGAACTCTCCGAGCTCTATCATCCGGTATGGTGTTCAGCTCATAAGTTCAACTTTGAAGAGAGTTATCAGCCTGCCCGTACCGGCCCGGTCCGTCGACAAGTATTCTGAAATTTACTTTGACGAGCTGGACGAGGGCGATGACAGAGACTCCAGACTATTTGGGCTGGCTATCGGTTCTACTCGGAATGGTCGCGGTGGTTTATGACTTCTAGAATATGAAGTTTGAAAAATGAATTTTCAAATTTATTAACTCACCGCCTATCTCGTTGTCGATTTTTAGAAGAACGCCTATTGCTTTTCATCATAGTTGGATCCACTCCAATATTAATCATTAACTCTTGAGAGGCTTCTTCCAATTCATTCTGATAACAAAAATCTATTCTTGGTTGTTCTATAGAAGCAGTATTACCCATGAAACAGTTCCGGCAAACCGCTCCATATGAATTTCAATACATGACATGATCATTTGATCCGAGTTCGTTGGATTATCAATCAATTCATTCAAAACTGATTGTCTGAACTCTTCGAGTCTTTGCAATCTCTCTCGATTCCTCAATTCTTCCATTTCCAGCTCGTGACGATCTTTCTGAGGCTGAAACTTTTTTTTCTTTTTTTTGCGAACAGGATAAAAACTCACTGGCTTCCTCCTTGGCGGCTGGTAATTCCTATTTTCCAACAGTTTCGGTTTTACCAAATCCGTCAGACTTGACCGAATAGGAAGTGGCAATCGTAGACCATGTGGATCTCCTCCGTTTCTTCCATAAACGAAATCATTCAGTTCTCGTTGAGATTTACTTAACGATTTCCGTTTGAATGGGTCCGCCGAAGACGCTCGTTTCGGTTGGTAATGTACACCTGCAAACAAATTGGGAAAAGTCTAGTAATTTGGTTTTGGTTTTAAGTTCTGAGCTGTGAGAAAATTTTAGTTTTAAATTAGAAAGCCAATTATTATTGGTTTAAACTTACTAATTGGACTATTAAACATTGAATATGGGGGTGTTGCATCGACGACATGTGATATTCCTTTTGTTAGTCGAAAATGATGGGACATAATTGTCTCAGGAGAAATTGCCCATTGGTTTTTTGATGCTCGCATCTGGAAAAATGGAAAAGAATGGGGGAAAGAGAAATATTGATATTGAGAGGAAATAAAGAGAGCCCAGATGCCCCAAAAAGTAGCTTTCACATCGGAAATTGAAAAAAAAGAAAGGGTGTGAGAAAATATTTGGTTAGGAGAGTGAAGAGAAATTGAAAGTATGTTCGTATGGGAGAGTGGTTTGCGTTTCTAAATTAGTTGAAACGTAGCGAGAAGAGAGAGAAAGCGAAGGGACGTATACGAAAAGTGGTGAGTCCCTCGTCGGCGGTTTCCATAACGACAGAAAGCGGAGATCCAGCTAATAAATCGCCATTTCGTATCAAGGGGCTTTTTGATGCTAAACGAATGGGATTAAGACGTCGAGAGAGCTAGCGCAGACCTGCTTTACTAAATAATTTATTGAGGGAATTTGGAGGAAGTCTTCTGTGTCGTCCGAGATTTTCGGAATTTAATGCAATAAACATGGTGGTCCTTTCATGAAAACATATGCTAAGAAGACCTTGAGCTACTACAAAATGTTGAAATCTTTTTGGTATATTATAAATTATGAGGGTGCTTTTGTCATAGGACTCACCTAATTAAAAAATAGACCTATTCTGTCGACTGCATCAGTTGTTGAATTCATTACCTTTTCATGATATCTGTCATTTCATGATATCTGTCAGAATAATTTGCAAGACTAGTTCCATGCTTCAATATTAGAATTTTTCATGCTTTGTACAAAATTTTGGTCCCAATAAATGAGTTTTATTCCAGAGCAGATACTTCAAAACAAACGGGTGATGAAATTGAACAATACCAACAATATATATGATTCCAACTCAAAAAACAAAAAAATGACAAGTGGTCTGAAGGTATCAGAGAGGCTGTGGGCGAGTGACAACTCACAAGCGCTATCCGGCCACTGCACCGCGCGGAGGCTTTTGCCTGCTGCCTTTCGGCCCTGAGCCGTGCACCTCTCCTTATGCGCCCGGGACCGCCCGACTTCCGTCAGACGGACCCTAGCGACGTAGCGCTTGGCACGGACGCTCGGTCGCCGTTGCCAGCAACACCCACAGGACTCCTCCCTTCACTCCATCCACACTTGTCTACCGCCAAGAAGCTGGCTCACAGGCGCCCGCCACGACGCCCGGTGGTTTACCAAAAACGAGATGTGTATATGTATTCGATGGAAACACGCGGAAAGTTGCGGTTGCCTCCTTCCTCTTCTACTTTTTCTCTCTTCCTCTTTCTCCGCGTTTCCCAGTTTGGTCGTCCATAGAGCGCGTTTGCGCCGTTTTCGAGTAGGAAAGACAGCAATTGGGTTCATTTGAACAGAAAATCATTTAGACCTCCTTAAAGATACACAATAAAAGATGGGTTATGGTGAGAACAAGTCTATAATCTTATTGGCAAACTGAGAACGCAGAAAGTGTGTAATTTTTCGGCGAAAATTTTGTGTAATCCCCGAAAACCACAAGTTCGCTTAGGCCGTAGTAGATGACCAACGAACCTTGCGAGCAGAGAGTGCGGAAGGTTCAGAGAAACAGGTTCCTCCATAGGTCCGAACTCTCTAACTTCTATCATCAACTCATCAAATCATCATCATCTCTGCCACACACGCACACAAACACAGCTACGAGCACATATTTCAATCTTGTTGTACACCGAAAAGAAATCTCTGCGTATCCTTCAGATCTTCAATATTTTATTGATTAGAAACATCCGACATTTCACATCCTGCATGAATCTATTCCAACTGGAACGACCTAATTCATCTCTATTTTCCAGATTGCTTCGATTTTTCATTCTTGACACCTCTCGCTGTTTTTTGAGCTACCTTCTCGGCGATTGATGAGCACACCTGGCAGTTTTCAAAAATATTTAGGAAAAGTGTGTGTCTGTTAAAAATATATATTATCATGTTCTTCTTCATTTTCTCTTCTCTTTTTCTCTTCTTGTCCGCCCCCTATCCGTTCGCAAATAAAGACGAAAATGATGTTTTGCTTTTTTCCCTCATTTTTCTTCCCGGAGAACAATTCCACGCATCACCGTGTTTCATTGCTCACCTAATTTTTGTCAGATCATTCATTTTCTGGGTGGCTTTTAATTTGAACCACTTTTGATGACATTTTTGCTAGATTTTTGTTGTTGTTTGATATCTATGCACCATTTGGAGTTTTCAATGTATAACCGTGGTTTCAAAGAAGAATCTCATCTTAGTAAACAGTTGACTTTGAAATTTTCTAAAAGTAAATCAATATTTAAAAAGCCGGCCGAAAAAATGAAAATTTGGTGGATGCACCAAACCATTTTTCGTATAGTTACGATTTATTGTAATCTGCGATGCATTAATTATTAATTTGTGTTAATTTATTCAGCTAGCATTGATAATCATCTCCAATAGATTTCATTTAGATTCCTAGTTTTTTTTTGGGTTTCAATATCGTCTAACAATTAAATGGTATTTTTTCAGCCGATGGTTTAATACTATCCGTCTGATTTTATCATATTTCCTCAATAGAAGCCCACCAAAACCGTCAACTTCAAGCTCAATTATCTAATTTCTTGTGAAATATATTATAAGTTTGTCAACAGATAAAACACTTCTGTAATTATGATAAACAATTTATCATTTGACAATTTTTTCATATCTTTGACGAGAACCGAGATGAATTGGCTCAGAGTTAAAGGCTACGAGCCCTTCTATTACAGTTTTTACGGTATTTAAATACTCTATTTTATTAAAAATATGACATTTTATCAATTGGGTTTCTCGAAACTTCTCCAAATACTCAATCTGCCTGTCACATGTCCTCTTTGCGTGATTCATCAAAAACTCTTCCTTCTTTTTTCTGTCGCACCGAACATTCTCGTTCATCACCAGCGTGTTCAAAATGTCTTTTTTCGTTTCCCTCGTCCGTTTCAAAATCCTTCCCCAATCATTCTTCCTTCCTTCCCATCTGATTCTCCAATTCTCGAGTGCTCTCTTTTCCATCGTTTTGTTCTCGCGCAGTAGCGTCGCCCCGCAATCACAACGACTTAACATTGTTTTGTACACGGATTATCAAGTGGTTTCCTTCCGAATGACTACAGCCAACCGACCGACCGACTCGAGGAGACCGTATGACGAAATTTGGTCGGCGCGGGTGCTGGCGTGGCGGTGCACTTTTCGAACCATTTTGGTCTAGGAATTCCGATAGACATAAAAAACAAGAGGCACTTGGGTGAGAACAAACTTTATCTCTTCAGATCTCATAAGATCTTCCACACTGTACACTTTGGTTGATCCTCTTTCTCTATTTTTCCATGTCTTTCTATCTCTTCTTCCTCTTCTTTCCATTCAACATTTGTTTTATTCATATACCATCCATCATCCATCCACGAATCTATCTCTTTTATTTTTATCACATTCCACTTTTTTCACCGTTCTCTTTCTTCTCCAAAACAAATCATTGTCAGCCCAATTTTCAGGCGAGGCGACTTTTTTGTGTTCATCTCCGACGAATACAACCCAGTGTGACGAATAGTGCACACGATTCAAACGTCAGTTCCTGATCGAGGCTTCCTATCGATTATTTCCCTAAACGAATTCCCCCATCTTTTTTCTCCCTTTTTTCACCCGGTTTCATTCTGCCGCATCAAGTGCAGAAGAACATTTTCAATCGATCAGTGGAACTCTGAACAGGACACTCGACAAAAATCATGGATGCTCTTCAGGTTCGCTTTTTTTCTTTGCAAGAGATTTTTTCCTCACACTTGTGCTTCTGTTTATCAGCTGTTTGAAATTTGAAAAAAAAAAGTAGTAAATAAAATTGATGTGAGGAAGAAATATAGCGGGAGCTAGAAAACAAAGGGATATTTAAAAATAGAAAAACAAAGTGATGTTCTGGAAAAATCCAAGAGTTTGGAAACGAATTTTTGTGGTAGTGTCTAAAAAATCTCGAAAATGGAATAGAAAGATGAGTATGTTGAAATCTTGGATCTTGGGACATCTTAGGATGTGTTTCAATCATTTCCCATTTAGAAAATCGGATATAAACTACCGTAAACTCTGCTGGACCTCCACACTGTCAAGTTTGAGCTCAACTACCTCGATTCCTATGCATATATCAAAAATATGTAAACTAAAGAAATATTGGTGATATTGTGATAAACAATTCATCATTTGACAAATTTTTGATATATTTTAAAGGAATCGAGATAAATAAACTCAACGTTGACAGTGTAAATGGGCTTCTATTACAGGAAATACGGTAAACTGAAATCCACGTGGCTTTAAGTTTCAGTTTTCCTGAAATTTATAAGAACTATTACACTTTTACTATTTCCGTTGTAAACTGTTTGTACTACTGTAATTTCTTTAAGGGACCGGCACCTCTAATCATTCTCTTTGATCATAAGTATCTTGAATCCTATAAGAAGAAAAAAGACCAACTAATAAATTGTTTTGATTTTTTTATTCATACCATCCATCCTCAAAAATTTCGTCAGTTGATAATTTTGCGATATCTATTACAGTAATTGTTCTATTTGAGATAAAACTAACACTAGCAAGTGTCCAAAAGCATTTTCTTTAACACTAACTATCTCCGTTCCGTTTAAGAGAAATTGAAAAAAAATATTGCCGCGAAATTGTAATAGAAATGCCTTCACAATGTCAAGTTTGATCTCGATTATCTCAATTCCTTTGCAAGGTATCAAAAATGTGATAACTGCCAAAACACTTTTGATATTATGGTAAACAATTTACCAATTTACAACTTTGACAGGAATCGAAATAAATTGGCTCAAAGTTAAAAGTTAGAAGAGTAATTCCATCATAGAATTTACGAAAATATACATTTAATTAGTTGATAAACTTCTCGACTTCTCTAACTAACTGAGAACTGATATAATTTGAGAGATCTTTTAGAGAAGAATGTGACTGATAAAATGTTATATCCCTAGCTATGCGGGTCAGGAAAAGAAACAAGACAGAGCACACACAATTGCTCAGTTCTTTCTTTTTGAAGACCTCTTACTTTTGTCGCGAGCCCTCAGAAGTGCTAATTCTGGCAGTTAAACAAACCAAACACCGATTTTTTGTGCCTCTTGTTGTACTAAATACAAAACTCTTTTTTTAACTTCTTGTGAGCCACTCCCAATCACTTTATCACTTTTTCTCTTTTTTCGTCTCTTTCACAGCATTCCTTTATCTCTTGATCCACCTTTAAAAAAAATCGATCATTGCTTTTTCTCCGGCTTGGGACCGCGTATCTGATAACCACATACTACCTGAGAGTGTGTTGTCTGGCAAGAGAATCCGGGAAGAAGAAGAACCAGAGGTGTATCTTACTCTTCTAGTGTGTCCCCTAACCCTTTTTACTCTTCTTTTTTCTCTATTCGGTTCTATTATACAAGAGTTCATTCCGCTCTTTTGGACAACGAGAATTTTCCATCATTCTTTCGATTATGAAAATTAGCATAAACCAGTGTCAGTACTCGCATTTCGCCGGACAGAATCACCGCTCCTTTTCCGTGATTTTCAATACATTTAGTATCGAATTCTAGAAACTTCTATATCAAAACTCTCTTTTTTCAGACTGAAAACAAAGTCATTGAAGAGCTGAAACCATCAGCCGCAGCATCCACAAAAAAGCCCACCAACCGACCCGCCATGCAAATTTACCGTCCTCCTGGTAACGAATTTTCTAGAAGAGTTCTGAAATCATGTATTCTAATTTTTTAGGACTTCGATCCGACGGCTCGTCTTCAACGTCAGCCGCCACGACAACATCGTCAACGAAACCGAAGCAGGCAGCCGGTCAAAAGCTGTCCTCCAGCGATTGTGACTCAAATGTCACTTCACACATATTGAAAGAAGGTAAGACGATAAAATGGGATACTTTGGTTTAAAGAGAAGGCTTACTGAGTGTCCAGATGTTGTTCAGGTCAATGTGTTGGCCCAGTTAATGGTTTATCAGTACCATAAAGTGAAAATGGTTTGAATAACACTGCGATGATGTTTATTTCTGTGGTTGGTCTAATTTCAATGCGCTTTGCGGCCAAAAATTCGAGGATGGGCTGAGCATAGGTCCGGTAGCAAAATCCTTGAAGGTACATTAAAGAAGCATATATTTTAAGATATGTGGATGCCACACTAGGAGTCTATGGCTCTCCACAGTTCTAGCCCCCGCTTAGACGCCCTTTGGCCATTGACTTGGCTATTATACGATATCTGTCGAGACTGACTAAAAACACAGGTTGCCGAATGCCTCAGTTACTATCTCGAATTTTTGGCCGCAACGCAGATTGCAATTAGACCAGAGGAATATAAAGGGATTGAATAATGCAGACTTTGTTATTCAAATCAAAACTTAAATATTAAACGATTTATCACCATGGATTCTGAAAAAGTCATTCTTTCATTCCTATTTGTTTCAGAAAACAATAACAAGAAAGATTGCGGCGAGTCGACGAGCTCACGTGCCAGCTCGCGCGCTTCCAACAACATATCGTCAGACGATCGGCACACGAACGGAAGTTTAAAACGGACTGAAAGTTCATTGAGCTCTGAATCGAGCCCTTCGTCGCAGGTAAGCTGGTTGCCATCCTAACAAACAGACAATACAAAAGTATTTAGAAATCCTATGGTTCTAACTCGAATAAGCTGAATGGCCAATACGTCGGCGGAGGCGCCCATCAGCAATACAACAAGAGGATCAACAGTTCGAAGAAGGAACATCAAAAGGTATGTCTTGTCTCTGTCTTCATTCTTCTCACCTCTTCCCCCATTCTTACAGAAGAAAGTGATGAGTGAGCATGAAATTGAAAAAGCTATAACTGAATTGAGAGCTCTTCAATTACATTCTCATGCGTCGCAAATCGAACAATGGATTGGAGGAGCTTTCTGTGATGAGGAACTCGCCGAATGCATCGGATCCGCATTATGTCGCCATGCAATTGAAGGTGGCGGTGGTAGTGGAGTTGGAAAATTGTGCGCCAACTTCAAATACGCTCCATCTATCGGCTCCTTTGTCAAGGTAACTATTCATTTGTTTTCAATCAATCATCAAATTAATATTCAGGGACTTATCGTGGCTCTATCCCAATATCTGGAATGCCGTCATAAAATTCGCGAGGATCATTTCCGAATGTGGATTTCGTTTATTCAATTTTTGACTGAACTCTATTCCAATTTGGGATCAGATTCCAAAGGAGAACTTGCCACCATTGTGTTCGACGTCTTCAATTATCTTCTTCGTCCACCAATTCTAGAACATGTCAAAATTCAAGAATTGGAATGTCTCATTTCGATTTTGATCAAGGGAGGGTACGACTTGGAGAGAGAATGTCCCGATCGGTTGGCGTTGCTAAAGGATCTGATCAGGTAATTTTTTCAGAAGGATTTTTTAACAAATAGAAGTTTCAGGGATGCATTCATTGACGTCTCCGAACCATGGGCTCGCAAAATGATCCTTCTCCTTCTGGAACTCGGCGCATCAAGCTGGAAACTTCCAACCGATGCGAATGAGTACTATTTCAATGAGACTGCTACCTAATTGTTTTTTTATTTTTTTTATAATCAGTTTTTTTGTTCATCGTTTTCTTTTCTTTGCAATCCTATTTGTATATATTTATTCCCTAGATGATCCTAGTTTCAAATATTAACCCTCACTTCTGAAACATATTTCTTTTTTCTGACTAACTGTTTCCTACCGGTTCTCTTTCTTTTTTTCTTTTTTTTCAGTTTAGTTTCTTCAATTTCTGCTCCTCTTCATCTTTTCCTTTCACTTCACTTTTTGGGCTTTTTCTTGATTTTTAAAACCAAATCACAGGCTATTTTTACATTCGACCTTCCGCTAAAAGGTCCATTATCTTTCTCATTTCTCTCCATTTCTATTTTATCATTATGTGCAACTGAATAAAATTCAAATATTCTTGAAATATGTGTATCGTTAGAAGACAAGTTTTGAAAGCAAAATATAGAGTATGTCGAAGAAAAACGTCCCAAGAAAGACCTTAAAATTTTCAGAACCCTAATGACCGCCCGCTCCCAAATCCACATAGTGATCGGAACGAGAAAAAGGTGAGATGATCAGTCATATTTGTTTATATTCTAAACCCAAAAGAGTCACACTTTCAGATATGTTTGTCACCACCCGGACAGTCTTTAATGGATGAAGATAATACGATCAGAAAACCTAGCGATAGGTCACAGAAAACAACAAAGTGAACTGAAATTTTAAATGAGAAGATCAGTGATCAAAATAAATACTTTTTCAATTTCGTTTTCGATTTCGATGAAAATAGAAATGACGTGGTTTCTATTCGTAGTCTTCTCAGAACAGCTACAGTTCTAGATAGGGATCAAATTACAGGGTGGCACAGTCATAAGTACCGTATTTCCTCTAATAGAAGCCCACACACACCATCCCCTTTGAGCTTAATTATCTCGAATCCTGTTTAAAATATATAAAATTGATCAACTGATAAAAAATATTTTACTATTATGATAAAAATTTTATTAGTTTACAGATTATTTATATCTTTTACAAGAATTAATTAAGCTCAAAGTTGACGGCTTCAGTGAACTTCTATTAGCGGAAATACGGTATCTTGGAAGCACGAAAATTGGTAGAAATATAATTTTTCGTTTCATTTGAAACTACTGAAGTTTTCACGGCATTTCCTTAAATCTAGGTATTGTTATGGTTGCCCAGTATTATGTTTCCTGCACACCGTTATGATTTTCACGAGATGAAACAACTTTGACAAGCGATAACTCATTCCAAAGTTGGTCTAATAATTTAAATCTTAGCTAGTTTACTGATGAATAACTTGAATAGATGTGCTCCAAAATTGAGCCCAGTACAAAGCTTTTTTCTCAAATTTTATGCTAGTACAAACTTGAATCCGTAAATTCCTAATTTCAGAAACTTCAGGAGACAACTTCAGATGTTTTCATGAACTTCTATTCAAACTATTTTCGTACTTTCAATAAAAATAAGTGATGATTCATACGTATTACTTTAATTCACATTTCCTCATATCAACATCTTCAGAGACCTAATTTTGTATCATTGATAAGAATTATGTCATGGAAATTTTGAGCGAATTTCTTCAGAAAAGTATACCTAGTTCAGCAGATTCGAGGTTCTGAAATTCTTTTACAAACTGATAAGAAATGTGGTCAGTAGGCGAAGATGGATAGAGATACTGAACAAGCACTTCTTCTTATCTCTTCTGTCTACGTCCTTCTCCTTTTCCTTCAAAACTTCCATTAGCCATTTAGCCTGTTTCATTCTCGTCCAATCGGATTACAGTCTAATCCCAAAAAAGTGTCCATTGTGAGAAAAAGTGAGAGAAGGTCTTCTTCCAACTATCGTTCTCGTTCCGAACGACTTGTTATTGTTGCATAGTGGTCGTCTTCTTTTTTCTTCTCCATCATCAGAAGACGTTGATTTCAACGGCAGGAGGCGTGTCATCTGCCCAATTCTCGGGCTGTTTCTCTGGGGTCACCGTCATCATCATCATCAAAAAAAAGAAGGAGGAGAAGGCGAGAAAAAGGAAGCGAAACGCAGAATGACAAACGAAAACGCGTAATTTTTCTCGGGGCATTTTTTTGGTTTACCGTCTCCTCGATTACCCTGTCAGGAATCACTTCCGAATAAGAAGAAGGAGAGAAGAAGAAGAAAAAGCTGCATGCAATTACCATTCTTTCAAGTATTCAACTTTTAAGACTATGATCATCTCACGGTCTTTATTTTTGAGTTTACTGTCTGTTTCGTTGGTTCTCGTTCAGTTGGTAAGCTTTTGGAATTTTTGGGATTTTAGAAATTTGTTTAACTTTGGGATCAGAGTTTCTCGGTGATTTCTAGAAGTATCAGTTTGATTGATTGTAAAATGCTGTAAAAGCTGTAAGAGAAAAGTCCCCACATTGTCAAGTTTAAGCTCAATTATCTCAGTTCTTGTGCAAGATATCAAAAATGTGTCAACTAACAAAATACTTCTGATATTATGAAAAACATTTTATCAGTCGGCAACTTTTTGATATCTTTGACAAGGAACGAGATAAATTGGGTCAAAGTTGGGTCATCCTTCTATTGCTGGTTTTTTTAAGTTTTTCAGTAACTGAAGCAGGGCTGGGCGTAAAATTATTTTTTTACGGAATCCGTAAAACGTAAAATTTCCGGATTTAAAAATCCGTAAAATTCCGTAAAATCCGTAAAACCGTAAAATTTCCAAAGTGACTGTATTTTGCAACCAAAACCTATTTTTTCAAGTTTTTGCACTTTCAGGTTTGTGATTTTGCGGAGTTTCATTTCAATAACTCGAAAATTATGCATTGTCTCACTTTTATTAAAAATCTCAAACTTCCATTTTCCAACTAGTTCGGTAAACTTTTCAAAAACCTCGGAAAAAAAACGAATTTTCTTTTTTTTTGTATTGAAATCTCAGAAAGTTACATACTTAAAATAGCGCCAAACTCAAAATAATGTTATTTTTTGCCAAAAACAGTCATTTCATTATTTTTACGGATTTTACGGATTTTACGGATACAACTTTACGGGGGTCCGTAAAATTTTACGGCTGTCCCAAAATGCCGTAAAATCCGTAAAATTCGTAAAAACCGTAAACGTAAAATCCCAGCCCTGAGCTGAAGCCTTCTCGGAAGTTGATATTTTAGTTTTTCAAAAAAGACAGTACATTAAATTTGTATCTCTGAAAAGTCGGATTAAATTCTGTTTTTCGTTTTTCTGTCGTTCTTTTCTAGGAAATGACCATTTCTATCTATGCTTCTCAATCTAAAAAATTTGATGGTCATTCTCTCCCAAGGTTCCAAAACATTCCAGTGTAATAATACTGTGTAATTCTTTCCAATTTAAGCCCCGAAGAAAAAAAGTTCGATTGAGGGAAAATTAATGTACTACTGTAACTAGGTGCGGTCAACATCAAAGAATGTTTTCTTTTTGAAAAAGTGGTTCTTCAGAAGGGATCACCATATCAAAGAAACAGATAGAATTGATTTTCAACTGATAACAAAATCAACTTGTGATTTTAATTCTATTTTTCATGACTAGTTTTTTTTTGTTTCTGCAAAGAAAATCGTAGCCTAGAGATCTGATGGCTACAAGAGAGACCCCCTTTTTCGTCAAACTATTATAACCTGAATGCCAAATTGACCTGAACTTTCTTAGAATTTTCTGTTGTGATTGGTTTTTGACTATCAAATATGTAGATTCGAGGCAGCGAAAGGGAAGAGAAGTTGAAGTTGAAAAAAAGACCTTGAACACAGGATTTTTGAATTGGAAGGAATTCTTCTATTCAAATATAATGCGGGAAAAAAGTGGCAAAAAGAAAACATGAGACATACATCGAAAAAAAAGGGAAAGGAAGCTTTTTCTACTAAAATTCAGATTTTCAGATCAGATGTCAATCATTTCGACCAGCTATCAGAGTGCGTCTGAATCGTCCCGTCTTTGATCAGGCTTCTTCGATCGTTAGTATGTTTTTTGGTCACCCGTCAGCTGGTCATCAGATGACAGTTTTGTAGTGGTTCTAGTCAGAAAAAAAGAACCTCTTCTTCTTCTCCTTTCCAATCAAATTCTTTTGCAGAAGGCCTGGTAGAGTATGAAGTGCCACGTGTCAACATACCAGCAACTCGTCAGTGTTTCCAAGAAGGATGTGTAGACGTAAGTGTTTGAAAGTGAGTTTATGAATCAAGTGAAAAACGTTTGAGTGCGTTTAGGCGCACTCATTCCGAATGTCTTCGTTCCGGCAACCCAGTTTCGTCGCGTTCGAACCGCACTTTCCGAACAAATTTCGGATCCGGGTCACCGATTTTGACTTTGTGTGAGTTCTTTTTTTCATTCAAATCATACACCAAGAATTATATATAGATTGTATTCTAAAAGTGATCGTATTTAGCAAAAAAAAACAATATAAAGTTTGAGTTCAATTATCTCGATTTTTACGGTATGATTCACTTAAAAACAAAGAAAAAAGTGTTTTTCCTTAAATGAGAGAAACCTCTAAAATAATAAGTGGTATCCGATGACTGGCGGCCGAGTTTGAGTTTCCTAGTCCCTTTTTCTAGTCGCCAGCGCACGAAAATATGGTATTGGAACTTTTCAGGGGCTGTTTTCGAATTCCTACCGATTTTCTTCGGAATTTTTTGACATTTTCGGCAATCCTATACAAACGTTTTGATAAGTTTTCAAAAAATGGACTATTACCTGAGAAAAACCGGTCGAAAATAAATAAAAAACTTTGAAAATTCGAGAAATGAAATTTTCGGGCGCTGGCCGAGGACTAGATAATTCAAGCTCGTCGCTGAGGGATAACTTTTTAAAATTTGGTTGTACAGAGATGCGTTTTTCTTAATAAGTGATTTTTTCATTTTTATGTGAATCACATTTTTTTTGCACAAAAGTAAAATATTCCCTAATTTTGTTCCGACAATTTTATTCATGTTAAACTATAATTTCTTACAGAGTAACAGGACAACTCAGCGGAACTATCACTGTGATACTGAACATTCCTATCACTGGAAACGTTGTGGTTACAGGTGTGTGTGTTTTGTTCATCATAAAAAAAACAAACTGGTTGAAGGAGGGCAATTAGAATCCAAAGTTGCAATATTATACTTTTCAAACCAATTGAAAATTCAGGAAGGAGTATTGGAGTCAGTGCACTTTTGGATCTTCAGAAAACTGTGAACGATCAACCGTATTTGAGATTCAATGAATGTAAAATTGAAAATGGAATCGTGTCAACAAGAGTTGCGAATATGGGTCTACTCACTGATACAATTAACCAGAAGTTTGGGAATGTTCTATCAGGACAATCGAAAATTCAACTGGAAGAAGCGATATGTGAACATATGAATCGATTGACGCAACAGCATTTCTCCACGAGACTGGCCAGAATTCCAAGATCTCTTTCGGCAAAGGAATTGTTAGAAATTATCATTACGGTAGGGAATCTGAAACTGAGACTTCGGTTAAAACTGAAAAGTTCAGAACAATGTGAAAAAGAGTGCGACCTCTACAGCTACAAACTTTGCCACGTTGGTCCGCCAGAAGAGAGCGACCACGACGTCAGATGACTACTATGACGATATTGAGAAAACAGAAGGAAAGCCAGCAAAACCAACTCCGAATAGTACTGGATTTAAAGAATTTTGAGAACATTGAAATTAAAATTTCATTTTCAGTTCCCCTGCGAAAAATCAACCTATCTCGTGATGACGTCATCAACTTCTTTAACATTGAACGTCTCTCTCACATTCTGATTGATCTTACTCTTCTGGATGCTGCGTCCACGTCTTCAGATTTTTCACTGGGAATTTCTGGAAATGTTTTCAGTTCTCGATCGCGTAAGTTTCCTGTTTACTTCCTGACATCTGGAATTGCTTTTCCAGAAGGTTCATCTCCGTATCAAGCGCCATATCCATTCAGAATTCCACAGAACACAAACAGAAGAATGGTTGAAGTTGTGGTGTCTCAGTACTCTTTGAATAGTTTACTATTCCAAGCTCACAGGTTTGCCGAATCAAAATTAGATCCCTCAAATCGACCTAATTCAGAACCAACTCTCTGATATTCCATGTGGATTCTAAAACTCCGGGAATCGGAAATCTGCTTGAAACCAGCTGTACAATAGATGAAGTTTGTATTGCAGATGAGATCACCAAGGTTCGTCATGTTCGTCTTTTTTGAAAAAAATATTTTTTTTTCATTTTTAGATCAAAACCGTTTATCCAAACAGACGATTGGAATTGATCATTAGATCAGCTGCTCCACCAACTGTCACTGTTAACACTGGTAGGGACTATTCGCATGAAAATTTCTCTATTTTTTAACGAATTTTTTTAGATTCCATGACGGTTTCAATGAATGGAAGATGCATATTCTTCCTGGAGGGAACTCGCCAAAAAATTGGAGTGATTCCTTTCAACACCGTTATTCTGGTTAATATGAAGACCATTGGAGGAAAGCTGACAGGTTAGAAAATTTCGATTTGACTTGAATTTAATTTTCTAGACTTGAGTTTAAAAGAGGTGGACCGGATAATTTTCGGAGTTTTTTGGGTCTAGGGTTTGCATTCTGACTTAACGGTGTACAATGCGTACAGCAATCGGGCGCTCGCTCTAACTTCGCCCGCGTAGCTCAGCTGGTAGCGGCGCCGCACCTTCAATATTCGTCCCACAAGTTCAACTTCTTGAGGAGCTTATATGAATCAAATTTCAAAAAAAATTGTATTTTTCATTTTCCCTCACCTTTAAAGAACTTTGGTTTGCAGGATCGGTAACCATCCAATCACTAGATTTTACTCCTGGAGTAGATTTCTTGGCATTGTCAGTATCCGATTTGGATGGATTGAGAAGAACTACAAAGTCCGCTCTTCAAAACTTTATAAGCTCTGCTACAGCTGATGGCTTCACACTTTCCACAGCTTCTATGCAGTAAGTTTCGTTTGATGAATGAAAACGGTTCCACCATAGAGAAATAGTATAGTAGCTACTGTCCTAGGACAGAACACGTTTTTACTTTTTTATGCTTTGGTCAAAACTACTAGATATGTAAAGAAAATGAAATTTCAGCTCACCACTTCGCCTATCCCATCCAGAAGTTTCTCTTCTCCCAAATGCACTTCTTCTCCAGGCAGATGTGGATCTCTACAGAACATTATATTCCGCCAGAAAATCAAGAAAATCGGCTTGAAAATTAATATCTAGAAAATGGGTTATCGAAATCCAAAACGGGTACTTTTTCATCTGGTTTCAAATGTTAGAATCATCAATCTATCTCATGTTTTATCATTGCTCCCGAACGATTCATTTTTGCCACAAAAATAAATATAAATAAAAAACATTTTTCCCAAGTCAATGGATCAGCAGATGTATCAGATAATATCAAGTTTCATCGAAAATAGAAAATAGAAATGATGCTGGATCCCAAAAATAGATTGAGACATTTTTTGTGTGAAATAATGTCGTCATTGTTGAGGCTAAAGTGATAGGCGAAAATAGTCAAATTTCAGTTTACATGAAGGCGGACAATCTCGGCTGTCGGCGCCAATACTTGGCCAGACCTCCCACAAGTTTAGCACAAGTCTCCGAGCACATTACTCTATGTATTAGCTAAGACTTGTGGGAGGCTTGTGCAAGACTTGTGGAAATCTTGTCCTACACTTGTGTGTGGCTTTGTGTGTTTTCATTGAAACCTGTTGTTCTGTTGTGATTGTATTCAAAATTAGAATATACTACAACATTTTATTAGAACACTACACAAAACGAATAATGAAAAAAAAATTAATTAAAATCACAAAAAATTTACACCTTTTCGTTTCCTTTTCTTTGAAATCCGTTGAAATTCATCGACAATGACAGTGTAATCGCATCTAGTCGAGTCATCTCATTTTCTCAATTTTTGCTTTGTATTTTGAAGTATCCTTTAGATGAGGACATTACGATCCAATTTCTTGCATCTGAAATACAAACGATAATTTTAAAAATTCTCAGTCTTTGAACTAATACCATCACTTCCTTTTCGAAAAATTTTCACAGTTGTGGTTTCGACATTACTGACTTTCGAATAACAAACATTTACATAATGTGCAGTGCGAATAACTTACTCTTTACATAGTTCGAGTTGTCTTCAAATACTTAAAAAAAACCTCATTCCTGTGAGTTCCAAGCATTATGTTTTACTGAAATCGTGTTCATTTTCCACTGCGACACTCTGCACATGCACAATTTTGAAGAAACTCTGAATCGTTTTCATAGCGTTTTCAAACTCCATGAAAAATGTGTGACACCTTCAAAAAGAGATCCTTTGTCGACTAAACAACAGTTTTGATGCAGAATTTTTAGGTGGAATTTTGCAGAAAATTAACTTTTTTCATCCTCTGTCTCCTGTGTTTTTGTGAGGCGAAATTCTGTATATTCAAGTGTTCGAATTCTGTAATATTGAACTGTTCAAACCTGAATATCTCTTCATAATAACTCACGATATGCTCACGATGTGCTCACGACTCGCAGATTTATCGTTTTTCGGTTTTGCCTTTTTGAGTTGAAGTTGAATGTTTTGTCATGTTGAAAGTTACACCATTCGAAACTTCAAAATTTCTTATACCAAAAACATTGAAATACCTTCATAAAAATTCAAAAGTTGATGAAAATAGTAGAAAAATAGGTAAAACCAGAAAATAAATTGAATATTAAATGATGAGTCCGAAGGTAAAAAATCAAAAATCAGAATTGGCCACGACTTGTAGCCTTCCGACTATGGGCCAAGACTTGTGGAAGCCATCACAACGGCTCATGGAGGCGCATACTTTGGCCAAGGCTTGGGGGAGGCTTGGCCAACACTTGTAAAATCATGAAATTTGGCCAAGTATTGGCACCCGCAGCCGAGATTATCCGGTATGATCAATACGGGTATCTTTAGACATAAGTGTATTGGAAGCACGAAAATTGGTAGAAATATAATTTTGCGTTTGATTCAAAGCCATTGAAATTTTCAAAGCGATTCTTCAAGTCTGTGTATTGTTATGATTGTCCAAAGATGAGCAGAGTAATGTTTCTTGTGATTTTAATGAGATGAAGCATCTTTGACAAACGATAACTCAGCACAAAGTTGTTAAAATGGTTTGAAATTGGATCAGTTTACTAATGAATTATTTGAATTTTCGAAATCTGAATTTGAGCCCCGTACAACGATTCACTCAAATTTTATGGGTCTCGGTAACCATTTATAAAGATCAACATCAATTTTAAAGTGCGTCGCTTCAAAAAATTCCTCTTCTCCAGAAAGCTCTTCAGAATTCTCGTGGTTCCATACTACATTACTCCCACACCTACAACGTGATGAATTGAGTATGAATTGCCTATTAGCTCCTTTTCTTGGTTCAAATTGTATATTTGGTTTCTTGGACTTTTTTGTGCTTCCGTAAGGATATCTATTACACTTGTGTTATGTGATCGGTTCGTTTTTTATGTGTTTGCTGGTCGTTACTTACTAGCTTGTGCTCATTAGACAATGTCTCGTTAGTTTCCAAAAAAAAGTTCTTGCAACGAAAACTTTTTCTTCCAATATTCTCAGAAACATATATTTTCATTTTTTAATCATAGTCTTTTGTTGTCTTTCAGCAGGATTTGCAAGATGAGCCAAGTTTGCATTGGGCTAATCCAGATTTTGAATATACCGAACGAGGTTATATATCCTTGTTTCCGGATTATATGACACACTAGTTTTCGAATCGAAATCCCTCATTTTCTTCTATATTTGTATTGTCTGGATTACTATGAAGTTATTACTCATCAGTTTTTTCTTAATACCAATTCATTGGAATTGAATTGGAGTGTGTGGGAACACCGAATAATATTTTTTATTATGATTGTCTAATGAAAATGATCAATGAGTTAATTTCTCAATTATTGTATTGTGTATTTCAAGAAAAATATTGTACTTCTGTGAATAGAAAAATATATTCATTTATTAAGAAAGTAGACAAACTGCCCGTGGGGGAAATACTCTCATTCACCCACGTTTTCTAAATTTGTGTGTATTGCTCGTTTCCGCGAATCTGAATTTCTTTCAAAGATTCATCTGATCTCTCTCCTTTCATCACCATATACTGAGAGGGTGTCAAAGGTCGGGCATTGAATTACACAGAAAAAAGAAAAGCAAAAGAAGAAGATGTCTCGTTATCTCTGCGCATCTCAATCTCGAGTTTTCGTGTCATAAGTAGATTTAAGATTTAAGGGGCCTAGAATAAGGATGAGAGGATAGCGAAAAAAAGAAGAAGAAGCCGAGGCCGAAACCTGATTGGACACGGGGGCATTTGCTCTCATAGCACCTCCTCAGCGGGTTCATCGAAATCTTTGATTTCTTCTCCTTTTCAAGGCTTCCTTCTTCTTCAAGCCATATTCTATTGATCATAATTCAAGAATGACGTGGAGAATCTGTGTTCTAATTAATTTCCAAGTAGGGAGTGTTTTTAAAACAGAGCAGTTTAATTGAAGAAGACCCATACATTTCAAAATCTACGTCATGAAGAAATTCTGATAAGTTCATGACATTTATATGATTCGATCATCGAAAAAGTCTTACGAGTCTGAAGCGTAGAATCTAGATGATTGATTTTCGTAAGTCAAAATATTTCCCCGAGTTTCGGAAAATCACCTTAAACCTTTTATAGAAGGGTCCCTAACCTTTGACTATGAGCTAATTTTTCTCGGTTCCTGTCAGAGATATAAATAAGCTGTCAACTGATGAAACACTGTTGATGATAAACAATTTATTAGTTGGCAACTTTTTTATACCTTTCATAGGAACCGAGAAAAATTGACTCAAAGTTCACCGTGTTCTATCACAGGTTTTAGGGTAATTGTGAAATGAATAAAAATCCTAGCAATCCCCCAATATCATTTTTCTAATGTCTAATTTTTCGGATTTTTAATACGAATTTCCTGAATTTTGCATTCGTTGATCGGTCTATTCTGAACTAGCTGCTCATCCAGTCGATTACGTCTTCTATCAAATGACATATATTTCGTTTCCCAAAAAGAAATAGTGCCTGAGAATTCAGATGCAGTTCCTATGTCCCATTTATCACACATTACTTTGTCTATTCCTCTTCTCCTCCTCCTCCTTGTCCATCCGTATTACTACTATGCTCATTTCTGATTCTCGTGATAAAACGAAAGCACAGAAAATAGTGAGAGTAGTGAGAAGTGTTGTAGGTCGAACTTAATCCTTTTCTTCTTTCTCAGTTTCTTACTCATTCTTCTCGTTTTTTTCCACTTTTTTTCTGAGAAATTTAATTGACCTGTTTGGTTTTGGTTTATTGTATTTTTAAAGGAGATTTTTCATAGTTCTTATGAATTCAGGGTATGCATTCTGACATACCGTACAGCTATCGTGCCCGCTTTTATATATTCTATCGGGCAGCCGAGCTTCGCTCACGTGGCTCAGTCGGTAGCGGCGTTTCACCTCGAGCCTTGAGCCCACAAGTTCAACTCCTCGAGAGGCTTATATGAACAAAGCGGGTTTTCGTATTTTTTTTCCTTTTCTGAGCAAGTATATAGAATTCTTCTAATCCATTCTGCCCCGTTCCTTCTATTTCTGAAAAAGCTATCAATGCTGAATCTTCATCTTCTACTTCTCCAAAAAAGAGAATAACAGAATGATTAACCTTCTCCCCTCAAAACTGCCAAATCTCTTTTTCTTCTTCTTCTTCTCATTTCTTTTCCTTTTTTCTCTTATCAGAAGAGTATCTCCATTGGCAACGCCGGGGAGGTATAGAGAAAAAAGAACATTAACACACATTTTTGGAAGAAGCCCTCCCGTCTCCTATCCAGTTAATCATCTGTTCATCTGCCACGTCATCGTGCTTCTAGAGTAGAGTGTCAAGATTCACACGCATCTCGCATTCTTCCCCTTCTTCCCCGCCCCGGCTGCTTCCCGATCATTCCTTTTATTCGTCGTTGGATTGAGTTTCCTTTAGGAATCTTTTTTTCTCATTTCGTCCCATTTTTCTTCTCCGAAACCAATCATCACAAAACGGCTCCAAATATAGTGTGTCTGAAAAAAAATAAAAGAAGAGTTGCCAGTTCATCTGGATCATTTTGTTTAGACTTTGTTTAGTTTTGTTTAGACTTGAGATGGACCATTCTCAATTTGATTAGAAGATAAATATCTTGTTTTCTTCTTTTTCTTCTTGAAAGACCATTCTTTTTTTGGGTACAAAAAGTTTTTAAAAAATTAATTTTGTCCTAATCTTCTTTCTTAAACACTATGAAAGTATACCTAAAACCTGCAATGGAAGTGCCCCCATACTGTCAAGTTTGAGCTACTTTTTCTTGGCTTCTATGCAAGATATCGAATATGTGTCAACTAATAAAACATTTCTGATATTATGATGAACAATTTATCAGTTGACTACTTTTTTTTTACAGGAACCGAGAAAAATCGGCTCAAATTTGGAGCACACACTCTAATGCAGAAGGTAACCCTATAATTGCATTTTGAGCTCAATTATCTCAATTTTTATAAGAGATAGCAAAAATGTTGTCAATTGATGAAATGTTTGTCATAATATCAGCCACATTTCAACAGACCACTTTTTGATATCTTTGACAGGAACCGAGATAAATTGGCTCAAAGATAAACTTATCATTGTGCTCTTAATCGAGTTTTCCTTTTCAGTTCCATTTCCCGTTTCACTATCGAAACTCGTTCTTTTTTTTCTAAAATTTATTCAGTATTCCCTTCTATCACAGGTTCTACAGTATACTAACGTTGACGTGGTAGAACCCACCTTTTGATATCTTTGAAAGGAACCGAGAAAAATCGTCTCAAAGTTGAAAGTTGAGTGGCTCTCTTTTGCATATTTTACAGCAGCTAAGTTTAAGATAAACCCCAAAAACTCTGAATTCCCAAAACCACAAACTTTCTGAACTTTTTTGGAACATCCTACTGTACCTCATTCCCATGTTCTTATCCTTATTCTGCGTAATTCTTAAGAACACTTCAGCCCTTTTCTTTCCCTGAGGCAATCTGTAAACGTGCACCTTCCAAAAATTGCTTTTAGCAGCTTAATCTATTTTTGAAACTTTTCTGTTTTACTTCCAATCCATTTACTTTTCACTCTTTTTTCCAAAAACCTCACAGTAATTTTAGTAAAGCACACAGAACATCGTCTTATTGAATATTCAATGATCGCTTGACATCTTCTTCTTCTATCTCTCAAGTTGAAAAATAAAAAAAAGAAGGTGGGGAAGAAGAAGCAGAAGGTGTTTATTTTTTTGAGATTCGGCACGTCTCAAAGGTATTATAGTAGTTGGAATTCAAATAGAGACTTCATTCTCTAAAAGCAATAATACGGCAAATTGAGCACTTCTAATAACAAGAAAGATAATAATAAATTCACCTAAATTGTCTCTTTCCTCTCTCGTCTTCTTGTTTCTCTTGTGGTACATGCAAAGTTTAATAAATTCTCAGAAGATGAAAGTCCACTTCTTGGGTTACACTGAAATTCCCCGAGATTCTAGTTATGGACCAGATAGAACTACTAGAAAATTCAAATAGGTTGAAGATTGAGATGTTTCAAAATTTTCAAGTAGTTTTCGAAATTCCAACGCAGTCTCGTGACATGCAGTGAGTCAATCTGAAAAGCTTGAGTAGCGTAAAACCTGTAATAGAAGGGCCTTCTAACTTTGAGCCAATTTATCTCATATCCTGTTAAGATATAAAAAAGTTGTCAACTGATAAATTGTTTATCATGAAATCGGCAACATTTTATCAGTCGGCAAAATTTTGATATCTTGTATAGGAATTGAGATAATTGAGCTCAAGCTTGACAGTATGGGAGCCCTTCTATTACAGGTTTCACGGTACACTGAGTCAGCTCCACATTTTCCATTGAGTTATATAACCGTTCTTTGACCTGCTTCTTTATCTTCCCAATTGTCAAAATTTTTCCCTCTCTTTTACTGCGAACCCATCTTTTTGTCTTCTGCAATGAATGAGAAATTGAAATTGGATGAAGAAGAAAAAGGAGGAAGGACCAAAAATGTGTGACACATTTTTCGGGGAAGCATTTGCAGCTATAAAATGATGTCAAGACACATAGAATTGCGACTTAACTTTGTTATATTCTCAGAACACCTACAGTAGTCTTCCAATTATAGAAAATTTGTTTTTACCTACTTCTTTTTTCTTCAATAATGAAAGACTAATTGATAGGAAGAACTGCTTTTTCTTTTCATTTTTCTTTTTTTTCCACAATTTGTCATCCCAGAGATCACAGTTCATAATAACGGACCCTCTTGATAAATATGTTGACTGTTCGAAGGAGGAAATAACTAGTTTTTTGGGTTTGCCGGAAAATAAAATCATGCTCTTTGGGGGTGAGAACACTCCAAGAAAAAGGTCAAAGATCCATGAACTGAGAGCATCAAAAAACGTTGGGAAGACCTTGTATCCAATTTTAGCAAACCACTATGTTCACTATGAAACAGTTTGTAATCTATTTTATAATATTTTTTGTGCCTTGTGATATCTTGACAATTCATTCTTAGAATATTTACTCTGGAAGGAATCTGCTCGTGCTTTGTGACGAAATGAAATGACCTTTACTGGAAATATTAAAGTCTTCTGCTTTTTCTTCTTTTCTAAATCACATATTTAAACTTTTGATTCCAGTTCCGTAAAAGCTTTTGAGTTACCGTAAAACCTGCACACAGGTTTTACGTAGTCAAAAATGTTTGTCAAGTTTGAGCCCAAATATCTTAATTCCTGTGCAAGATATCAAAAATTTGTCAACTAATAAATTTTATAATGTTTTGATAAACAATTCATCACTTGACAACTTTTTGATATCTTTGACAGGAACCGAGATAAATTGGCTCAAAGTTAAACTTATCATTGTGCTCTTAATCAAGTGTTCCTTATCAGTTCCATTTCCCGTTCCACTATAAAAACTCGTTCTTTTTTCTAAAATTTATTCGGTATTCAAAAAGTTCCTGTTCACTAATCCCATTTTTCTTCTTTATCCACATATGTTCATGTTCCTTTAAATCAAAATGAATAACCAGAACTGATTGTATAGAGATCTGTGTAGTGCCCTTCTTTTTACTCGTGTTCCAACACACTCCCTCCATCTCACTGTTCTTTTATTTTCAAATTCTATTTTCAAGAATACTTCACGTCTTCATCTTTCACATCTTCTTTTTCGTTCCCGACATCTTCACCTGCCCCCTTCTTCTGATTCTTCTTCTCAAAATCTTGAAACTCAATTTTCGCCTTTGAAGTAAAAGAAGAAGAAGAAGAAGACGTGACATCTGAATTCTCTCTCACTCCTTCCATTTACATCTTGAGAAATTTCTGAACTTTTTGACCCAATTTTTGGAATCTTACACGTCATTTCGTACCTGCATCGTGCAAAAGTAGAAATTCAACCCCTATTAACGTATCCTTGAGTAGCCACGAGGAGTTTAGACTCCACTCAAATTTTGTAGGAGTTGAGAAAATGTGTCAACTAAAAGAATCTGCCAGTTCGGGTTCCGCCAAATTGGTATACCGTAACACCTGTAATAGAAGGGCACCTTAACTTTTTACTTTGAGCCAATTTATCTGGGTCCCTGTAGAAGAAATCAAAATTGTCTCAACTAACAAAACACTTCTGATAATATAATGAACATTTTGTCAGTTGACCACTTTTTGATATCTGTTACAGGAAACGAGTTATATAGTGTCAAAGTTGAAGTATAGAGGGGCCCTATATTGGAGCGTTTACGGTAGGCTAAGAACCTACAAAAACCCTTTATACTGGGAATCGGAATTTCAAAAAACCTCTCGTCTTTTTGATCTATTCAATTCTCTTTTTATTGAGCACAAAATTTGCATAAAATTGAATTCCTCTATTTTTGACTTCTCCCAGAGCAAAAAATGCTTGGGGGACTACTTTTTTTTCAGAAAAGTTGGAAAAAAAAATTCAAACATCTTTTAAAAATTTTCCCTACTATGATATTATATTTTCCCGAATTCTCCTTCATCCTTCTCCTTTTTCTCAGTTTTCATTTTTCCGACAAATATCAAAGTCCAATACGGACCATCCGAATGCTTGCTGGTCCGTAAAAACATATGTTTCTCCATTTTCCCTCCTCCTTTTTACACCCATTTTTGACTCAAAAACTGAAATCCCTCTTCGCAAACATCATAAATTTGAACATTCTTGACGCCCCTCCCCTAAATGTGCCCCTAGAGAAAAACGAACGAACTGCGGCGCCTCTCATTCTCTCCGTCTCTTTTTTTCGCCTATCTTTTCTTATGGTCATTTTCCTTTTCATCTTCTTGTCGGGGGTATAGCTCAGGGGTAGAGCGCTCCCTTCGCATGGGAGAAGTCTGGGGTTCAATTCCCCATACCTCCAAATCTCTTTTTTAAATTTTTTGTTGCATTTCTTTAATTATAAAATTTTGCAGTTATGAATGAGGAGGTTCCTCTCATTGAATCCACTGTATCTGAGACAGTTCCAAACGGGAGTGTCTCTAGAATTCCCGATATTGTTTTTGTGAATGTTGGTGGACGGAAAGCAAGGCTTAACTCTGACATCATCACAAGAAGACTGGCCACGTCACGACTTGCAGTATTCTGTGAAAAGTCGCACGTCGAACGGCTGACGGACTGTGACGCCTACTTTGAGTCAACGTCAGAGTACTATTTCGAAAGATCCCCAATCATTTTTGAATATGTCATTGATTTTTATGTCACTGGAAAACTTCATCGGCCAATGGATATTTGTCCAATACGGTTGAGATATGAATTGGACTACTGGAGAATTCCAACTCCGTTTATGTCACCGTGTTGTATTCTGGAGGAGAATAACAATATTGCTGGAAAGTTATCAACTGAGAAGGTATAATTTTTTCTGCTCTTGAACTTTCAATTTTTCAAAATTCAGGCATTTGTTGATTCATCCTTGCCATCTTCATGCTTTGATAAAGTTGTACTTGGTCCACAAAGACTCAAACTCTATCGGCTAATGGAAAATCCTAGATCATCTTCTGGCGCAAAAGTGTTTTCAGTCGGATCAGCAGTTTTTGTACTGCTTTCCCTGCTTGGATTGATTCTGAGCTCAATGCCAGAACTTCAAGACGAGAACAAGGAACCACATTATCTTCTTCATTATTTAGAGCTACTGCAAGTTCCTCAAGGAAAGAGCCTTCAAAAATCTAATAAGATTAAAATTTCAGTTGCATGGTCTACTTCACTTTTGAATATCTCGCACGCCTTCTTGTGAACCCAAAGAAAGCAGAATTCATCAGAAGTCCTCTGAATGTGATTGACTTGCTCACGGTACTTCCTTTCATGATTGAAGCATTCAATGAGTTACAATGGATGAAAGAATTCAGAGGTATGACAATTTTTAGCTTTCTTTTTAGAATTTTCTGTATGTTCCAGGTGCAATGCTCGTGGTCCGTGTGATGAGGTTAGCTAGAGTGGCTCGGATTTTCAAGCTGGCTCGGTACAGTACTGGACTACGTGCATTCGGAGAAACAATGAAGAAGAGTGCTGCGGAACTGAGTATGCTTGGATTGTTTTTGGTTACAGGTAAGGATCTTTTTTCTGTTTTATTATTCTGTTGCAAAACAAAATCGGTTCTGTAGAAGAGAAACGCCGGTGTCCTTGGAGGTCCCACAACGACAACTGCAGTAACAAACTGCAGTATATGTGCATTTTTCGAATTCTATTTCCCGATTTTCATGCGTTTTCACTCGACGGAAAGCAGCGAAAAGCGATAAATTAAACGCGGAAAATGAACATATTTTCAGGTTACTGTAGTTGGCGCTACCTTTGGCTACTGCCAACCGCGTTTCTCTTCCATGGATCCAATTTTTGTACCAAAACAATAACTTTTAAGAATCCCTTTGAAATCATACAGTTTCTCGAATAATTGTCTAGAACGAGAAAAATAAGAAGAACAACGTTCAGTTGATCCCGTTGGGAGCTAATATTTTGTCTGTTTTCGTATTGGAACTTCTACGAAAACACACTGACGAAAATGAATTGTGAACTTGTGAAGAATAGATTTTTGGTGTCTTGCAGGAATAATGCTCTTCTCAACTGCCATATATTTCTTCGAGCGAGATGAACCCAACTCCAAGTTCTACAGTATCCCTGCTGCTTGTTGGTGGTGTAAGTTTTTCATCTAGAAGTTTCTCGAAAAATGTTCAATCAAGGTGTCATCACAATGACAACAGTCGGATATGGAGACTTGGTTCCGATCACTGCTGGAGGAAAAGTGGTGGCAGCTTTGGCTTCTGTTTGCGGAATCATAGTTCTCGCCTTCCCGATCTCTATGATAATCGACAAATTCGCTGAATCAACCGGTGGCTGGAGTGGTGGAGAAGGAGATGAAGAACAAGGACATCAGTTGGCTATGCATCGATCAGTTCACCCTTTGAATGGCGTTACGGCAGCACAACCGGTTAAGAAGAAGAGCAAGCGATATGTCGGATTTTGATTCTTTTCTTTATTTTTCCATTCTTAAGAATTCTTATTTTTTTACCCTCAACCTGTAAATAGCCAAACGGGTTCTTGATCTCTCCCAGTTTTTTTTCTCCCACAGATTTTTTATTTTCTTTCATTTCCGAAACATTTCTATTCTACTATTTAGTAATGTCTCTTTTTCTTTGCACTTGCCCTTAGAAATTTCATTCATAGTTCCTTCTATGCCTGGTTAGGTACTTCTGGGTTCATCTCATTCTCATTTCTTTTTAATGTCTCATTTCTCATCTGAATTTTATCGTTATGAAATTTTCAACAAAATAAAAATCTTGAAATCAATTGAGTCATTGACAGAAATTGTCGTAGTTTTGAACGCCAACTCCGCAATCATCTCTGCGGATTTGACTACCGTAGTCGGTCAATAAAACAAAGTTGTTTTTTAGGACTTCCCGCGCAGCTATTTTTCGGTTTTCTCGCGCTCTTTATCTTCTTGAAAGTCGTTTTCTTGCAAGTACATTTTTCAGATAATAATCTAGAAACTACTAAAAGTCTCCTTATCAAATAAATTCCTTCACATTGTTGTCAAACACATCGCTTGGTGCAGAGGTTGTTTTTTTCAATCATATCACCGAGAAAACTTAGTTTTAGACGTAAATCAAATCATCCACCGGAACGAGCGGGGCACTCGAGAATGGTCCGGCGTGGAAGTAGAACATCAGGGCCCTCGTCAGTAAACAACACTACATCCTCTTCGGGTTCAAGCGAAGCTCATTGGAAGTCGGGACGAGCTCATTCTGTGCACAGCGCCGAAACGAGCTTAGCGAAAAGCGGAAAAAGTGACAGCACCGACAGCAGCCCAGCTTCACTACAGAGCGTAAGCGACGACCGTTACATTAGTTTTTAACCTGACCTAAATTTTCAGTCAAGCCCTTCAGTTCACAAGAAAGGCGGTGCCAAAGTAGCTCGTTCAAGCAGCAATTGGCGTGGCTCACGTGGCGGTGGCACTTCGGGACGGAGCGCCATCATGGACTCCAAGTTCATGATCACAAGCGAGGACTTCCCAGCTCTTCCAGGTGTTCCGGGAATGCGCAACTCTCACGGAGGAACTTCTCATTCTACTCCGTCAAAGTATCAAAAAAGGGAAAGAGAGAAAGACACCGGAAAACATTTTAATGTGCGAGAATAATCTTGAAGAAATTGAGGCAATTTGATTTTGTTTTAGGGTGATTTGGCTGTTGCGGATGATAGTGGAATCTCCTCGAGCCGAGGGGCAACACCAACTGAGGTCGTTGGAAATGGCCGAGTTACTTCGAGAATCAGCAAAGGCGACTTCGACGGCAAGAAGAAATCTTCATGCGGTCCTTTGTCGGTGGATAGTGGCAAGAGAAAGAACGGTTCGCCAGTGAAAGAACGGCCACCACGCGGGAGTCTCAAACACAGTCGTTTCGCTCAAAATCAAGCAGTCGTCGTTTCTTCTCCAAAAAAGGTCCGTTTTGTTTTTGAAAAAGTTGGCACCAGAAATCAATACACCTAGTATTTCTTCTTTTTTTCTCTAGTACTCCTGAGTCTTTGACTTTGAAACTCACTTTTGCAACAAAAACACAGACACACACGTGCGACAGAAAGAGAAAACATAACCTTCGTTTACTTTCGATCACAAGCCTTTTGTCTCCTTCTCGCCTCGTCCTTCATTTTCCAAAAACATAAATACATATATATTGCCGTCTTTTTTGGATCTCAGGATCATATTAGAATAACAGTGAGCTGACAGTCTCTAAAAGTTCTTTCTAACACTGACGGTAAACAAAGTTATCTCTAACGTAAAGGTGAGAAGACCTGTTCATATTGATTGAATTGAAAAGGAGTTATCACTTTCTCTTTCTTCGTCTGTATCCTACTCAAAAAAAAAATGACTGCTTGAATGCGAAAATTCGAACGATGAGAGTTCGTCCGGTGAGTAAGCATAAACTATAAAAATCTGATTAATTCCTTTAGATTCCCATAAAAATTATCTTCTTTCAGAAGACGATCCATGCAAATGCAGCTAACACTGCCCCGTCTTTCATGAAACTTTCGAAAATCGGGCAGAAAGTTCCTGAAAGAAGAGGAGGACCTCGTGTGCACAATCATTCTCCGCAATCGGCAACTTCAGCGGAAAACGACAAGGAGAATAATACACCGAAGAAAGACACTAACCACATTGTGCCGTCGGCTCCAAAAATTGAGCAGAATGTAGATATTCTTTCCGAAATTAGCAGGGAAGAGCTCAAGGAGCTACCCAAAGATGTTGATGTGGTGCCCGACAGACCAATGAAGAAGATGTCAGCTGGAAATCTTGCGAATGTCGCTAACGTTCCACCTTACTGCATCTTCCATCCATCGGATGTGCCAAAAATAATACTTGGTCCAAACGGAGGTAGATTTTTCCCAGTGGAAAATTATTTATGAATATTCATTTTTAAGAAATGACCAACATTCCATCAACTATGCTGACTGATCAGTTTGGAATGGCTGCGATGCTGCCGATTCTCGATATCGTCAAAAACAGATCGGTTCATGCGAATGTTGCATCTCTCACCGAGGAAGAGTTGCGCGAAAAGGTCACCAATGAGAACATCGAAATGACTTCGATCGGATTTGACCTGAATGAATTGGGCGTTCCGATGAAGACTCAAGAACCAAAGTTAGAAAATCTCGTTTTAAAATTCAAAACAATTTCTTTTGCAGTCCCAAGAAAATCTGGGAATCGTTCTCTGGCCCATTCGGAACTCAGCCATTGTTGCCAACTAGTATGGGGTTGACAGTAAGGAAAACGGAGTTGCATGATTGAATCAAACTTTTGAATATTTCAGTACAACCAAGTTCCAAGCGTTTACTACACTGGACGTACGCTGCAGGCGAATTTCGATATGCTGCTCAATATACCGGAGAAGTTCGGGGTTCACGAGCTCTTCTACATATTCTACAACCTTCCCAAAGAAGTCTGGCAGTTGAATGCCGCTCGTGAATTGTTCGTTTCAGTTGATCTCTGAGATCTACTTTCATGTTTCAGACAGTATCGTGGATGGCGCTACAATATAAAAGAGAAACTTTGGGTTCTCAAAAAGCTTGGTGATAGAGAGGAGTGTAAGTTCCATAACTCTATCCTACTTATTTCCCTGTTTATTTCCTATTCAGTCACCCCAACGCCTCCTCAAAGTGCCTTCACTCCATCGAGACCAAATCAGGAAGACGTGATGGTCGGTGTGTTCGAAATTTATGATGCGGAAAAAGCTAGAATTGTGAGCCTATTTTACCAGAAACCCGATTTTACATAACCTGTAGAATTTCAGTGCTCCGCTGAACTGGTCCTTTGTCGTTCGGATTTCGAGGTACCAGCTTGGGAACAGAAGGTTCCGGACAACTATCAACGTATGCTGGCAACCGTATTCTCGAAAGAGGCCTTGTGGGGACCACGAGAGGATCGCAAGAATTTCGGATTCATGCAGGGAATTTCAGGAATATTCCCAAATATGAGGGTCAAGTGAGTGTTTGGCATCATTTTTATGATAATGTTGTTTTTCCCGAAGAGGTGCAGCTAATCTTACCATTTCGAAACCTACACAACCGTCAGAACGCCGTCTTTTGAGTTTTGTTGATTCGCCTGATGTCACTTCGAACTTTGAGAGTCCGTTTGGAAGCGTTCAACAACCTACCACTGAAGATATGCATCGTCAGCAGCAGATGTACGCTTTGTTAGTGCAAAAGATGCAAATGCAAAGTCTTCAAAACCAACAACAACAGCTCCATCAACATCTCAATATGTCGAATCAACCATCTACCTCTTCAATGTCCGCATCTAATTATTTCCCAAATTAAAATGGGAATTCATGTCGAACTACATTGCTGTTTATGGTCCATACCCGTCTTGTGTTCATATATTGCATTTCCATTTCGTTTTTTAGATAAAAAATCACCATGTGATTATTTGCGAATTGTCAATTGCTCCCTTATCCAAATTTATATTATGTTCCAATTGAAAACATTCAAAATTACCATGTTCCTCCTTCCCCCTCTAGAATCTATTAGGTTTCTACCCCAATCTTGCGTATTAGAACATCATTATTTTCTCACAGACACCGGTCTCCTAATTTTCGATATGTGTACTTCGAATTGTTTCATTCGCTCCGCCCATTGTCCCAAATGCACCCGTTTTTTATATCACACTGATGCTTCTCGATTCATATTCTCGGGATTCTCCGCTCTATCATTTTACTATTGATTCGGAGAGTATTCAGGTGTTTCCCAATTTATGAATATGTTCGACGAAATTCTTGATTTTATTATATGAGAGATGTGAGAAGAATAACAACCATAAGTTTACCAGAGGAAGATAACTGACTATAAAAAATGGACAGAATATGCGCTAGCCGTAGAAGAGAAAATAAGGAAAAAGAAACTATCAACTTGTAAAGCAATTGAAAAAGAAAATAAAGTTGAACAGGATAGGATTGAAAACAATAAGAGATCGGAATATATTATTATAAAGAGACAAAAACCTGGGGGAGCATCAGAGAAAAGACAAATTATGAGGAGAACGGGAATAGGAGAAACTTGACAAGTCCAGTAATGAGGTAGGAATAAACATTGTACTGGGCGTAAAACGATCCAAACCAGAAGCCATACATTCCAATGATTTTCGCCCAAGAGAAGGCGATTCGTGTTCCTTTCTCGCCTGGATTGAATTCACCAGTGGCGTAGTAGCGAGCTGAAAGAAGAAGAAGGTGTACGCGATTGATGGAAAGTCATCATTATCATATCTTTTTTTGAAACAAATCTATCACAACTGATAACGATAACCTAACGATCTATAGTTCAAAGTTTTAGACTGTCTTTTTTGGGTCATGGATTTTCTCTAGTTTACATGCACCCTTTCCCGTTTAGAAGGACTCCGACATTTCAGACGAATGGAGAAGGAAACAAAACAACTTTAGGGTTTTTGAATATGCTTTTTCTGATAGAAAACATTCTGAAATTCGGAAAACTCAACAATTTTTGCTTTAGAAGAAATTGAAATTTTCAAATTTCAGAATGCTTTCAATCCAGAAAAAGGTCAATTTTAAAACCCTAAAATTTTTTATAGTCTGAAACCTTTCCATTCGCCTGTTTTATCAAGACGGTAACGACATGTCCCGAAGCTTTTAGAAGGAACCCCCTCCCCCCCCCCCCTCATGTCTTTTGTTCATTCAATCTTCACGTGAATCGAGTGCACTGATCACTGATGACCATCAGAAAATTGCTAACCGAATAATCGTCGTCGACCTTTGTCCGATGTTTTTCGGTATCTGATGTAATCTATCGGGGAATTCCCCCATCGCTTTTGCATCTCCTTCTTCTTCTTCTCCACCCATTATCAGTTGCTCTTTCTCCTTGATTTCACACAAACACATTTCTCCGAAAAAATAGATTTCACAAGAGAGAAATCGAGAGACAGAGAGAAACATAGATAAATAAGTCATAGTAGTAGGTGCGAAGGTCGAATGTCGTCCTTCTCTCTGTCTTCTTATCACTTTTCCTTCACTCTAATCAGTTCCAATCAAAGTTCCCCGATTTTCGAAACTCAAATTGAAGCAAACAACGTACGAAATCCTACTTTCAAGACTATGAACTGATCCACAGTGTTCAAAAACTTATTGTCAGAAATCGCGCCACAGTGATAACTTTTAGGCCAGACGAAATTTAATTTTAGTTTAAAAATGGACCTAGATTTGACCTGTTTATTCTTGATCAACGAGCTTTTTTTGGCTTATTGTACGTTTACGTTTGTACGTTTGATACTTATGTCGAAGCCCAGATCTCACGTTCGCAGGGCACGATTTCTGACCAGGCCTTTTGGAACCCTGTGGCTGATTCCTGATTTTCAAAAAAAAAACACTTTTTTTGGGTTAAGAATCTTGATTTTAAAATTGATTTTCTTTAATCTAAAGTTTTGATCTACCTGATCACTTCTTCGCAGGTAAACATGAAGTAGTTACGAAAACAATACAATTTTCCTAATTTTTTCAAACTATGAAAATTCTTTCATCAGTTTGTTGAATTCTCTTCTCCGACCACCGGTTTCTGATTTCCCAACCCCTTTTCTCGTTATCACTTATCAGATACCGTTCCGCAGAAAAACCGTAGCAAACAACTCGTCGTCGTTTTTCTGCTAATTCGCCAGAAAACGATGATTGAATGTTTTGTTTCTTACCTAGCATTTCGTCCTTCTCCTTATACACTTCATACATCCAATCTCGTAGTTTCTCCTCGTCCTCGAATGGAACCTGTAACGTAATCAATTTCATTAATCTTTGCCTTTTCAGAATCTTCTCGTCAACCCATTCAACCATGTTAGATCGAACAGACAGTGAGGAGAAGGTATGTGATCATTTAAGAAGTTCTATGCTGATTTCAGCAATTTTTTATCATAGAGAAACGATTCCAATAAACAAGGAACTCTTATTCTCTGCTTACCTCTGCCGCGTCGTAGATTTTATAGTTGACTGCGATGTCACACTTCTCGCGAGTTCCCAGTCCGAACGTGGCAAGTGACAGTGGAATTCCGTTGGGATAAGCGATGGTGACGTCGAGAACATACTTGATGGGTGGGCGAGTGTCTGAATAATAGGAAGGTTGATTCTACTGTTTGTAAGGGGTGGTATGATTTTTAAAGTTCAACGGTTAGATGACATTCAGGTGTAAAGTTCAATTTTCGTTATATATAAGACAGCTGATTTTTGTCTAGTTGAGCATATGTTTTAATTATTAAAAACCTAAGTTTGGAGATTTCTGGATTAAAAAAGGGAATTTGTGGAAGAGAAACGTCGTTTGCCGTGGCAGAAGGTCCTACAACGACAACTACAGTAATCTAAAAATATGTTGATTTTCCGGATTTATTACCTCGTTTTAACTGATTTTCTCCGATTTTTCGATAGCGAAAAATCCGACAAAATTCAGTGAAAATCGAGAAAATAAAGTCGGAAAACAAATTAAATTTTAGGTTACGGTAGTTTTCGTTGTGGGACCCTCGGCCACGGCCACCGACGTTTCTCTGCAACAGCTACCTATTTTTTGTACCAAAATAATATTGACCCCGTTTCAACGACACAGCTTCCTAGTTTTCCCACAATCAAAAATCAACTATTCCATCTGTTTTTTCATTTCAACGCAATTCAAACAAAGCAATGCAAATTTCATGTGTTCGCTTCTCTCTGAAACGTCTTTGCTGTTTTTTATTCTTTCTCCTACTTTCCCTGTTTCTTGTTCTTCCTCACTCGAGCGCGCATAGATGAGACACACACATACTCCTCACAAAAGGTTCAGTGTCAGCATTTGGTCTTCAATAGTTTCTCGAACCTTGTTTGTGCCAGTGACTACTACTTCTTCTTCTTATCTTGTTTACTGCAAATTTGAATCCCGCCTTCTTCATATAGAAACGAAAACAATATATAATGGAAGAAGTAATCGTGGCGGAAGACAGATCATTTGTTTGATATTATCAACTTGATAAACACATGTAAATGATTAGGTGATGAGAAGAGAAATCACACCGTATTTCCGTATCCCGAGACGGCGGTGTTCTTTAGTTCTTGTATCACGCAGACTATCTTTTGTATCTTCTATCCATGTTTTTCCTGGCTTTTGTCTGTTTTCGATGTGCCCAATGTTACATCTTAGTGGGCGGTCGTGGGCTAGATCAGAGCCAGATACTTGATAAATCGAGTTCCTCCTCCCTCACTTTCTTTTTCTGTTCTTTCCTTTTGTTTGTCTCGGCAGAGCAACTAGATTCTCTAACTTTTTTCTCTAATTCTCGCCCCGTTCTAACAAAGAAAAATTGATCATTCACCATTTACGATTCATAATATAACTCTCTTTTCCAGATGCCACACTTGTTCGGAGTGGAATGGGCGCCGTTGAACATCCCACTGACTCGACGTCTTCAAACGCTGGGCGCTCTTCACTTCTTCTTCATCACTCTCTTCACACCCGTCCTCGTTCTCACTCTTCCGCTCTACTTGCTCTACACGGTCTTCTGGCCACTGATTGCTGTTTATGCCGTTTGGATGATCTATGATTGGAGTTCTCCACGGAAAGGTGCCTATCGGAGTGAGTGGTTCCAGAGACAACGAATTCATTCCTGGTATGCCAACTACTTCCCCGTTCAAATGCACACGACTTCTGAGATGCCCGAGGAACACAACTATTTGATTGGATACCATCCACATGGAATTATCTCGATGGCTGCTTTCATCAATTTTGCCACTAATGGAACTGGAATTCTCGACACTTTGCCACGTATCCGATTCCATCTGTGCACATTGGTTGGTCAATTCTGGACTCCATGGAGAAGAGAATGGGGATTGCTCCACGGCATGATTGATTGCAGTCGAGAGAGTATCAAACACGTTTTGGAGCATGAAGAGAAGGGAAGAGCTGTTGTGTTGGTAGTTGGTGGAGCTGAGGAAGCACTCGATGCCCATCCGGGATGCCATATTTTGACTTTGAAAAAACGAAAGGGATTTGTTAAGATTGCACTTCAAACTGGCGCTCAACTGGTTCCCTGCTATTCATTCGGTGAAAATGACATCTTCAATCAGGCTGATAATCCAAAGGGCTCCTCGATTCGACAATTCCAGACGGTGATGAAAAAGATTCTGGGATTCTCACCACCGGCGTTTTACGGAAGAGGTGTCTTCAATTACACATTCGGTCTTTTGCCTTTTAGGTGGGAGGGTTAGATTCGTTGAAATCAAAGTAACTTTCATACTTTAGAAAGCCAATCAACACAGTGCTAGGTGCTCCAATTCCAGTTGAGAAGACACTGAATCCAACTCAAGAACAGATCGACACTCTCCATGAGACCTATATGAACAAGTTGCGCGACCTTTTCGAGGAACACAAAACGAAATTCGATGTTTCTCCGACCACACAGCTCGTCATCAATTAATTATATTACCTCACATAATCATTTCCTTCGTTTTTCTTATCTTTCCTTTTTTCATTTCCCTCATGTTACATACCATATTCCTTCTTCCTTAATCAGATTTCAATATTATACGAGTTTCCTCCCCTTTGATGTTTAAATTTTCATATTTTCTCCAGTTTTTTTCCCCTAGATCAGTTAATTTCGCATCGATCTCTTATCATTTTCGAATGAACCGAGTAAATTTTTTGGTAAATTTTTAAAGCCCACCTTTGACATATTTCTTTTCGCGGATAGCTCCGACAGTGTCCTTGAGTAACTTCATTTTACTATTGCTACGCTCTCTTGGCTCGTCTTCATCCACTGTTCTTGGTCCAACCTCTTCGAGAATCGCCTTGACGGCTCCCATTCGAGGAAGAGTGGTGTAGAGGAGATGAGGGAATCCGTTCTTCTTTCCATAGCTGGAAAATCAAGAATTCTCGCTGAATATTCTAAAATTAATCTCACCTCTGACTGCTTTCTACTCGTTTGTAATAGAATCCTCCTTCCGGGAAAAGAATGACCCATCTGCGATCGCGATCCCAGAACACATCGTGCAAATGCTTCTTCAGTCTCACGAGCTCCTTGTCGCGCGTGGCTTTTCCTTGTTGAATGAAATAGTCTCCGTGGTTGTTTCCAATGATTCCGAATGGCGTCCAACGGAACATAACATCCATCAACCAGAGTGTCTTTCTGCTGGCAACTCCTTTGTTCTGAAGAACTGTCATCAGAGTTGGAACATCGGCAGTACTCTGATGATTGCACATCATCAAGACACGTTCATCTCTATAGTATGTCGTCACATCGTCTCCGTACTCATAGACGTCGTAACCGGCAGTGTATCCCCAGTAGGCGATGAACGATTGTAGCCATCTGTAGAGCTTTCCTTCAACGAACCAGTACAATCGAGGCCTGGAATGCATGGAAAAATGAGTCACCAAATTTTACTGATTAGAATTACAAGATGACAATATTGAAAAAAAAACAAAAACTCACCATACTGTCCTTGCCCACATTACTGGCAGCATAAATCCAAAGTATGTCGCGAAGAATACGGTAACCAAGGACAGACACATCAACGTTCTGAACGGAGCTTTCACGACCCACCATAATCGACTGGCGAAACTTCCTTGTTCAATGACAAGGCGACTTCCAGGAGGTCTGAAACTAACTCAAGACGTTTTTTTTCCCGGAACAACTAACGAATAACTTACCGCTGGCCATTGGCCAAATCGAGCAATTTCTGAGTTTGCTCGTCGCACATCGGTTCTTCTTGTAGTTGTATTTATTGTTGATTGAGTTGTTTGAACTTAAAAAAAAAGTTGACGAATTTTTGAGTGGTAGTTGAGAGAGAGTGGCGCCACAGACAGACGTAGAATGAGAAAGAAAGTCAGGTGAGGATGTGGTGAGGAAAAGCTCTCAAAGAGCAAGAAATTTGATATGTATTAGTGGGAATTTCTCCAAATCGTAAAGGACGAGAATACACTAGACTAGATACGAAATTTCGGTAAGTTTTAGAAAAGCAGAGACAGTTTTCTTTGTTGTTATAGAAAGTGAATCATTTCGAAGGGGAGAATTGTATAGTTGTGAGAAAAGGGCCAAAAGTAAAAATAGCGATAGTTTCAATGCTTGCTGATTTCAATTTGACACAAAAGTTTCATCATACAGAAACAGTGAAACGTTTCATAGTAAGAACTTTCATGTTTGCTTTTGAGGGACATGTAACTAACTATTGGAGGACAAACACGAAAATTATTCAATTACCCAACAAGGCGAAGAAAAAGGGAAAAAAACGGCGAGAAAGAAAGACGAAGACGTTTAAAAAAAGAAAAATGTGAGACAACAATGGGTAGATTTTTAGAAAGTACAATTGGAGTGTTATCAATCGGAGACACAAGAATCATGTGGGGCGGAAAACAGCTGATTGCTGATTTTTAATTGAGGAAAGTTTTTCCTCATGAGTTGTGAAATCACAAAGGACTGTGAGAGAAGGTAAGTAGATTCTGGAATTTTTCGAGTGATTAGGTTTCGAAATCTATTAATCAGTTCAGGTGAATTTTCGGATGCTAACGCGCCCGTAAATCAAAATCCACGTCAATCGTTCCGACAAGTCAAAGGAGGTCGGTTGGACGGAGAGAGAGAGTTGAAATGAAATGAAAAACGAAGAGAGTGCAGACAGGAAGCCGCTCGTTTTTTTTCTCATCGCGCATCCACACTCACTCGCTACACTTGCAGTCTATGGAATTGGAAATGGACTGCGCAAAAAACTATACAACTCAATGAGAATTACAAACTAAAAAACACAGCAGACTCACACACAAGAAACGACCAAAAAGCAGTGGGAGGAAGGGATATATCAATTAAACTGGCCAGTTGCCGACACTCTTGGCATAGACGTCACAAGTTGTCCTATAGATTTTCAATCAGCACTTTTTTATCTTTCACAGTTTCCATTTTCAAGTTCCTGTCTTTAACCCAAATTTCCCTGAATAATTGAAAAAAAAATTGCATTCAAATTGGTGCAAAAATTCCAGTGTGGATTTACGCTAAACAAAGCTCGATGCGGGATAGCGGAGTGTTGTTGTTTTATTCTTTTTTTTTTGACATTTTTCGTACCGGAAATGATGAAACTTTCGGTTTCTGTGAACTGATTCTAAAATTTTTTCATCTAAATTAATCATAACAATATCTCTCAGTCAATCGATTTTTTACTAGCCTGTACAATAATGACTCTTGATAGCAATTCGATATAAACTTCAATCAAAGTTGCCTTGTCGTGTTTTAATTTTCTGCAAAAACTAGTTTATTTTGTTCCAGATGCCGTCCGCAGTCACGAGCACTTCAAACTCATCCGATGTCGGTCATAGTCAAACATTTAAACGAATAGCAACAAAAGTAAGACTCAAAAAAGTATTTATTAACAAAAATGAATTTGTTTACAGTATTTTTTATCATGTACAGCTGCGTTAGTAGCCGAAACAGTCACATATCCTTTGGATATAACAAAAACACGACTGCAAATAGCCAAAAATAAGTTCACCAGAGGAGGTTAGTCCTCGAGAAATCGAGAGCGTTTGGAAGAGAATTGAAATATACAGGAATGGTCCAAGTGACATATGACATCATTCGAAGAGAAGGAGCAATGGCATTATGGACAGGAGTAGCGCCAGCTATCACGAGACATTACATTTATACAGGAATCCGAATGGGTGCATATGAGCAAATTCGTCTATTAACCTTTGATAAGGATGTAGGTTCAAATAAATGTTTTTAATCTGGAGATGTTTTTTGTAGAAAGAAAAGACGTTCCCACTTTGGAAATCTATGTTGTGCGGAGCTTTTTCCGGACTCATCGCCCAGTTTGCTGCTAGCCCGACGGATTTGGTGAAAGTTCAAATGCAGATGGAAGGGTTGAGAAGATTACAAAATCAGCCGTTGCGTTACACTGGAGCAATCGACTGTTTTCGATCCTTATACAGAACTCAAGGATTCTTTGGTTTGTGGATCGGATGGATGCCTAATTGTCAGAGAGCTGCTCTGTTGAATATGGCTGATATTGCAACTTATGATAGAGTGAAACATGGGCTTATTGATCATTTTCAATTCAAGGTGAGTATTATGTCGGTTAAAAAATTGAAGCTGTGGGAGTGAAACGCCAGTGGCTGGTACAGAAGACCCCACAACGATAACTATTGTAAGCTATGCCCTGAAACGAGCAGTAAATCCTACTGATATATACAGTGTAGGAAAATATGCAGATTCATATAAAGACAAAGAAAACATTTGTTTAAAAATTTGCAAAATTTCGAAAAATCGCTTCTCGTCCATTTCTGGAAACTTCTGGAATGTTCTGTAATCTAAAAATAATGCTGAGAATCGTTCAGGATAATTGGCTGACACATGCTCTTGCCAGTTCTTGTGCCGGATTGTCCGCTGCCATCGTTTCTCTCCCTTCAGATGTCGTCAAGACTCGCATGATGGATCAGATTAGACACGAATTGGATGCGAAAATGTAAGCTTCAAAAGTTCATATCAAATTCTCATCATACAAATGTTCAGGATGCACAAAAAGAACACCCACGTCGATCTCTACAACGGTGTCATCGACTGCTACATCAAAATCATTCGAAATGAAGGATTCTTCTCTCTGTACAAAGGATTTCTTCCCTCGTACATCCGAATGGCTCCATGGTCTCTCACCTTCTGGGTTTCCTACGAAGAAATCAGAAAATGGACCGGCGCCTCCAGCTTTTAGATCACCTTTTTCTTGTTTTAGTCTAGCTTTTTAGTGTAAACCTACGGGTCCTCGTCTGACGTTTTTACATGACGATTAGGTCTTTTCTTGCAATTTCTCCCTCTTCCCCATGTCCTTTTTTCGTTTTCTGTGCCATTTTTCTCCCGTTTTCTGCTCAATATTCATTTTCGGTGTAATTTTCTATGCATTTTCTCAGTTTGTGTACTACAATAGATTTTTAAATAGAATAGCTTATATCTAGTTTCATATTCGACATATTATCAAGGTGTAGACCGTCAAGATATTTGAAATAATATTGACTTTCTATTCATTGCCTCCTTGCTTCAGATGAAGTTACCCGGTGGAACTATTATTTGTGCAAAGAATGCGTCGTCGTACTATGATGCAGTTATCGTTGGAGGTGGAATGGTTGGAAATGCGATGGCGTGCTCACTAGGAGCCAACAAGTCATTCCAATCGAAACGTGTCTTGCTCCTCGATGCCGGACGTTCGCCATCTCTTTCGTCCTTTGAGTCAGGAGCTCCATTTAACAATCGGGTCGTTGCCACTAGTCCAACATCCATTGACATTTTCAAAAGTATGTAATGCCGCGATTTGTGGGAAGTTCCAAACTTATAGTTAGGGTTGCCGAATCTTTTAGCCTACTTCTTTAAACCATAAGCCCGGGATTTCAGGTCAAAAATTCAGAGTCAGTAATATTACGTGCCCCATCAAACTCATTGATGAAGATTTTCAGAATAAAAATGTTCTCACCTTTTTGACGGTTCCAAAATCAGTGAAGGATTCACTAGTCGCTCCGATGAATATTTTTTGAGCAGCAGGAATCCAGATATTGAATATTCCATAGCCTATTTCGTTTCTTTCTCCGTCAAGAATTGTAGGGATTTGTTCCAGCAATTCTGGAAAATCTTATCATATCATAATAAATGTATGATG